GATGGGTTTGAAACTGGTCTGCAGAGGCTGACGGACGCTCCCAGTCGGCATGGCAGAGAGCAACGGGGCCGGATCTGAAACCAGGTCTTGGGGAGTCCAAGGTCCATGCTCTTGACACCTGCCGGAGCTCTCTTTTATGCCAAATTCTGTCTTGAAGGAGAGGTACTGGTGTTAAGTATCTCCACCCTCCCCTTCCCCCGGATTCCCTGAGGGAAGCTGCCCCTCTGCTGACCATGTAGCTCCTGTTCCCCCAGCACCTGGCGGACACAGCAGGGGTACAGTCACTACCTAGGAGAAACTGAGGCCGATCTTCCAGGCAGAGAATGTGTGGGGACCTGCTGGGACAGACTCCCTCCTGGCTCTAGCACCCTCCTTCACAGCCAGAATCCAGGCCCTGTTGGGCAGGGTGGAGGGCAGGGCTTCGTCCACCAGTCAGGCTAGACTTGGGGCCACTCACTGCTTCCCTGTCCCAAGAGTAACAGGTGCCTGGAGGGCAGCCTCCCCAGCCCACATAGCCCTCTTCTCAGAGCTGCCCCGGGAACCATGCTTGTTGGACGGTTCCAGGCGCTGGCCAGCCCCTCCCCCAAAGGTCACTGACTGGACCAGGGTGGGCAGTGGCCCACCCTAGGCGTCAGCCTTCCCTTTTCTGAAGCAGGCGTAAGATGAGTTCCCGCCTCCAGGCCCCTCCGAGTGCTGAGCCACGCCATAGCCTTATAGTAATTCCCCCTTTGCCTTAGCTTTTCTGAGAGTTATAAAATTTTATTTTATTCCTTGCAAATAAAATAGCCTTGATAAAAAATCAAGGAGGAAGGAGAGCTTCCCCTTCAAGCCCTTCCCCACTCCCCGGGCAGAGCTAACCACACTTCCCGACTCTGCCTGTGCCTTCCCCTTCCTCCTCCTCGTGACCATGACCTTTCTGAGCTAAGTGCCTCCCTCTGCCTATGGTGCCTATCGCAGGGTCAGGACTGGTCCACGCAGGTGGCTGGGGGACAAGGCCACCACACTACTGAGGAGGTCACAGATCTTCTGGGGTCCCTTGTCTAGGAAGAAGCAGAATCAGGATGTGAACCCAGATCTTCTTCCCCTGACCCCACCTGGTACTTCCCTGGGCTCAAAACCAGCTGTTCCCATGCCCACCTCAGTCTCCGCCCCTTGGCAGTCACCATGACTGATTTATCTCTGCTCTGGCATCAAGATGTTCCATAATAAGTGATGGAACAGAATTTGTGATTAAAACGGCTTGTACCAGGAATCAGGGAGCCGCTCTGTTGTCCCAGACTCTGTCCTTTTGGTGCCCATTCCTCACCAATCATACCAACTTCTTATTTTCTGGATTCCTGACACCTGGCAGTCAGCCTTGCTGATGGGGGAGACACCGGCCCTCCCAAGCCGGCAAATTCTCAGCCCAGCACAGGAGGCCCCTCCCACGTGCTGACCAGCCAACCCAGAGCCCGCCCCCGCCAGCTCCTGGGTCAAACCCTCATGGGTCAGTATCCCCCTGCCCTAAATCAACCTGGGCACCAGACACCTGAGGAAAGTCCCCAGGTCCCAAAGTCTCTGAAAATTTTCCAAGTTAGCCAGGCCTTCCACATCACCCCGCCCTGCCCTGCCTTCCCTGGGACATCACAACAAAGGCTCTGGGCAGGGCCTTCCCTGGCCATCTGTGCACCCAGACCCACCCTGGTGCTTCCCCACGTGGCTTCCCCTGTGGCCCCTTCTCTTGGGGAACAATCTCCTTTCGATGGCACCAGCCTCTCTACAATGTCATTATAAAATGAGGCCCAGGCATGATCCAGAGAGAACAGCTTCTATCAGGACACCGACCGCTATTAATTAAGACTCTGAAAACCACAAAGCACAGGGACAGTTCCTGCTCTTCCCAGATCAAGGCGCTCAGCGAGGCCTGGTGTGGGCACTCGGGCTGAGCCGGATCCGGGAATTCCTCCAGGATCGTGACTGTGCCCCTGTCACTGTGCCTTTGGACTTGAGGGGTGGTTGGTTACTCCTGGGCAGGGACGTGGCTGGGAGGGGAACAAGGAGACTTCTGGTACTATAATGCTCTTGATCTGCGTGCGGGTCACGGTCACGTGTGCCCTCTTTGTTAAAATCTCGCACCTAGGGCTATGATTTATACACTTCTCTGTATGTATATTTCAATTAAATGGTTAAGAAAAATATTCCCTGGGCTGGGAGGTAACTGAGTGGAAGGGCATTTGTCTAGCATGTGCAAGACCCTGGGTCCAATCCAGTGGGTGGAGCTGGGGCTGTAGCTCAGTTGGTAGCGTGCCTGCCTTGCCTGCACAAGGCCTGGGTTCAATCCCCAGCACCACCAAAAAAAAAAAAAAGTCTCTGGCTTTCAGCCTAAGATCATCAGTTTCTCAGGACAAGTTGGGAGGGGGGAGGGAGCAGCTCAGATCACCTCCTCTAGAAATCCCCCACCTGGCTGATCATCCAAGTCACCTGAGGCATTTTATAAAATAATGTAGACTCCAGGTTTTTAGATATGCTCAGCCACGATTTGCAGGTGGGTAAAGAAGAGGGGGTGAAAGGCAGATATGAGCCCAAGGGGGAGAAGCCTGTGTATTTTAGGGCACCCCCAGGTACTTCTGGTGGCCAGCTAGGACTGGGGACAATTCATGAACTCCGCCGCTTCATTTCACAGAGACAGAAACCGATGTACAGAGAGGGCCCGAGACTTGCCTGAGACCACCCACCAGTGATGACGGACTGGGCCAAGACCCTCTTCCTATCACAGCCCTAGAAGAATACGGTGGCCGCGCAGGGAGGGGAAATGACAGGCTTTCATGGAAAGAAGATCAAGGGGCAGGACACCAACGGTGAGAAAATGTCACCTTGGCACAGAACAGACCCAACTCTGGTCCCAGCTACACAGGTCTCCTGGGCATGACGGAGCTGGCCGGGTCTGAGTCAATCCTGGCTCTGCAGAGAGCCCAGCTCCAGGCAAATCTGATGGCTTGTGTGTGTGCACAGTGTGCTCGGCTCGTCAGGCGGAAGTAAGATGATAAAAGCCTTTGATTTTCCCCAGTGCCCTATTTATTCTTCCTGCCTCGTACCCTTCTTTGACACGCAGGGGTGACACAGCACATTGGAGGGTGCTCTAGCAAAGAGGGGACTCGGCCAGGAGTCGAGGCACGAAGGAGAGAGTACCCTGTGGCACATGGGTGAGGAGCAGGGCGTCATTGTCAGCCTGACCCTGTTTAAATTCTGGGCCTCACATAACCTCTCCAAAGGGGTAACAGCAAGTACGTGGCAAACCCTGGTCACTGTGCACAAGTGACTGCTCCGAGTGCTTCAACTGGCGAATTCACTTCATCCCCACAACCGCCAGGAGACAGAACTACTATTAGCCCATCTTACAGATGGGGAAAACTGTGGCTGCATTCAGTGTTATTTATTGTGAAGATTATCTGAGAAAATGCATGTGAGAACTAGCAGGTACCTGGGCAGAGCACAAAGCTCAATAAACATTAGTTGTCGTGATCTAGAAGTAATAGTATTCTAGTTCTGCTTCTGAACTTGCTATGTGATCTTCAGTATGTCACTTCTCATCTCTCGGCCTCAGTTTCCCAGTCCATAAAAGGAGGGGGTTTAAGTTCTTCACTGGCTCTAGGGTATTATCAGTCTCCGATTGATCCAGGAAAAAAAAATAAAACCTAAAATCCAAGATGCTGTACTCACAGGTATTGAGAAATGTGGACACTTGACATTAGAAACCCCTTAATTTTAAAAAGGCTCATTCCCTTTGACCTAATAATTGTACCTATGTGGATATAAGAAAATAATGAGAAAACCTGAAATGAAACCACCATTTGACCCAGCTATCCCACGCCTCAGTTTATACCCCCAAAATTTAAAATCAGCATACTACAGTGACACAGCCATATCAATGTTTATAGCAGCTCGATTCACAATAGTTAAACTATGGAACCAACCTAAATGCCCTTCAACAGATGGATGGGTGAAGAAAATGTGGTACATATACACAATGGAATATTACTCGGCCATAAAGAAGAAATTATGGCTTCTGCTGGTAAATGGAAGGAATTAGAGAATGTCATGCTAAGTGAAATAAGCCAATCCCCCCAAAACAAAAGCTTAATGTTTTCTCTGATAAGCAGATGCTGATCCATAGTGGGGTGGCGGGATAAGGAAGAAGGAAGGAACTTTGGTTTGTGTAGAAGGGAGTGAGGGGAAAGTTGGGGCTTTGGGGGATGGGAAGGATGGTAGAAGGAGAGAGACATTATTATTACACTATATAAATATATGATTACACTACTGGAGTGACTCTGCACCATGTATAGCCAGAGGAACGAGAAGTTGTGCTCCATTTGTGTATAATATGTCAAAATGCATTCTGCTGTCATGTATAACTAATTAGAATTTTTAAAAATAAGAAAAAAAAATCAGAGATGGACACAAAGATTTACATTCTGTGATGTTGGTCGTTTGCAGTCACCCCAGATTAGAAATGACCTGCATATCCAACAATGGGAGTGTGTTCTACAACAGCTCAACAGATTATTGGGCAATCATTCAAAAAGCATGCGTTGGCTCACTCTCATGGCTCTGGGGAAATATTCTACAAGTTAGATTAAGTGAAACAACCAAGATCCAAAACCTCATGTACAACATGGCCCTGAAACTATAATACCAGAAAAAAAGACACGAAGGAGATAAATCATGAACACCGATTGCCTGCAACTACTGGAATATGTGATTCTTTAAAGCATCCAATCTTCTAAGTAGGAATGCACTGCCTTCCCCTCTGCTTCTAAGCTGTGTCTCGACCTCCCTATTTTTATGGGTTTTAATGAGCATTTCCTTTCTCTCGGTTCCTGTGGCCCTGCATAGGTGGGGGCCGTCTGTTTCTGCCTGCCACAGGCATGTGCACCCTGGATACATCTGCCAGTCAAAGCCGCGCTGTGTTGTTTTCTGGTTTGAAAAATGCAAAATTCCCAAACCAAGAGAAAAGTCCTTGCCTTGTAAGAGAAGGAAGCCTCGCCTCCGGAGGCGGCGCTGCTGGTGGGCGGGAGCTGCTGCAGCTGCAGTCCTGCGCGCTGGGCTCGGTCCATGGCGCTCTAGTGGCTCATCCTCAGGGCCCGGCCTGGACCTGGAGTGCCGCTACGCCATCCTCCCCGTGATGCTCACCTCCTCCCGGCTGCCATCTCCTCCTCGGCCAAACAGCACTCGAGGCTCTTCTGGCTGATCTATAGCTTTCTCTTTGGCTTCCCGGAGTGGAGAGCCAATTTCTGTCTCTCCCAAGCAGACAACGACGGTGCTGTGCTCTAGAGTGGTGGAGAGGGACATTAAAAATGCATGCAGAGCGAAACACAGTCCCCGCCTTGCTCCCTGAGAGCAGCGTCAGGACCACACTGGCCACGAGAGGCAGGGCCATTTCAGACACTGTATCATACCTTTGGCCCCCTGAAGACTGACATTGCTCATCCACCCCAAAAGTTTTCTCCTGGGTCCTTGGGCAATTCTTCCCTCTCCTTCTCTTCTTGCTTCCTCCTATCATACCCTAAATTTAAACCCTCCTTTATTCCATAGGCTCTTAAGGACAGAAGTAGGATCCCCAGTGACGACCATCCCTGTTCACTTCATTGGACTGGTATTAACAGCACTTCTCAAACTTTTCTACCAAACAGAAAAGAAAGAGAAAATATGCTAGTGTTCCGAGGACTGCGGCCGAAACCCTACCACAGTGTAGGGAAATAAAAAATATAAAACCCAACATATGCACAAGAAAAACTCCAAACAAACAAAATTCATGTGATTTTTGGATATTTAACATAAAAATATTTTAAATTGCCTTTGATCTGCCATGTTTTACCTTGGCTGGGTGATTTAACTTTTTAGGCAGCTTCCTGAGCTATAACAGATGGATACTAATATTCCTAACCCATGGGTTAGGATTTATTATTGTGAGGATTTGTTGCAATAAGGCTTGTAAAACGCATGCCCAGTAAACAGTTAATCAATGTCAGCTGCTACTAGTTTTAATTTTATTCTCACCAGTTTGATCATTTAATTTCCTCATGCATATTCTTCCTGTTCTCTCCTGTAACCATCCATGAGACAGTTATTAAGGGCTCACTGTGTGTTAAACAGATACCGTCTCTGCCAAGCCCCCAGGCTTTAGAAAACTGCCTATCCCATAGCTTCTAGTTCCTTCTGCCATCCCACCCTATGTCCAGGAATTCTGGTTCCTATTGTGAACAGCACATGCCTAAGAAATAGGGAGACTACCAAGTCCAGCACCCAGGAGACACCAGATGTGGCCTTCATGCCATGGCAGCCATGAGGGCCATTTGGCCTGAGTCTCACTTTGTCAAAGGGCCTCCTAATTTAACTGCTGCTGATGCCTCCAGTTGAGGCAGAATTCACAGACATGCACTCCCCAGATAATGCCATAACTCACATCCCATAACCAGACTTGCAAAATTATGGGGAAAGCATAATTATTCTTCACTAGACTTTTATGTGTGTATGAAAGGCATTATTGTGTTATAGTTCTATATCCTTGCCTTGGCATTTTTTAATATAACATGAGTCTTAGGAAGAGTGGTGCAGGGATCTTTCTGCCCCCAGAGGCCCTGGGAAGCATCCAATCTGGACTTGAAGGGGCACTGGATCTGGGATTCCAGGAAGGCTTGCAGAAACCCCTGTTTGGCTGCTCCCTCCTGAGATCTAGTCCAGAGTCTGGGAATGACTCGTACCCACACCTGCTAAGCAGCTGCTGTGCTGTGGTCACTTCAAAGTCAAGAACGCCTGACCCACCCTAATCAGCCACAGCTCCAGAGCACAACAAACAGACATGCCCAGCCCCACCCACAGGATGTCAGAGAAAGCACACCAGCCTTGGGGACCTGTGAAGGGGGTGGCAGGCATCCAGGCCTCCTAACCTCCTTTAGGCCAGCTGGTTTTCTAGTATTGCTTTTGGTTGTAGTGGTTTTAACTGGCTTTTAAAAAGCAGCTTCCCGTTCCCTCTGCCTCAGAAACCCCCTGGCCTCTGAGGCATCTCCTGCAAAGACAGAAGGGTCTCCTAAGCTGGGTAAGCATCTTGCTCAGCTGGGAAGGGGTTTGGGCTGAAAGTCTCTGTGGAACTCTTTGCAAGCTGTACTCCCTTATAAGGCACCCATTCTTTGCCTGGTGGCTCTCTTTTCCTGATTTCAAAGTACTTTTCCAGGACTAACATATGTCCAAGAGGCAAGCAGCCAATGCTGTGTTGCCAGGCACCCCACGGTTAGAGCACACGGTCATTGACCCAAGAAATACAGAACTTGCTAGGTGCTTGCTTCCACTTCACCCCCCCCCACCTCTGATCTCAATGAATTATTTCAGCAGTCTCAAGAGCAGGTTCTTAAGAGGGAAGAACCCTGGCTTGTGCCCGCTAAGGCAGGGTTTGTATTAGAATTTGGATCTAAATGAAAACATAAATAAAACATGCTCTTTCCCACCACCTGACGATTCAGCTTCTGGCTGGCGAGTGTCAATTACGTGCCAAGCTTTCCCTTTCCTGGGCTTTGGCTCATGAAAGGGCTCCACGCTTCAGTCCCCTCCCACGGACCTGGATACTACTCCACACCTGGGTTCCAGCAGCCGGCGGCGGCGAAGACTGAGAATGCCTCCCCTCATCCCACCTGCTAACTCCGACTGCTATTTCCAGGATGCATGCACAAGAGTCACGGTGGCAAAGTTACTGCGTTTCGCTTCCTGGAAGCCCAGCATCACCGTCACTAAGGCAAGCCCGTGCCCACTCTCCTCTCATCTTCGATGAAAATGGGAAGGGAAAGAAAAAAAAAAAAAAAAAAAAACCGGAGGCAACAGGACCCAAACCGACAAGGCAGGCGGCCGCAAGGAGGGAGGGTATTTATGATAAGGGACATTAGCTGATGACAAATGCATTGCTTTTCCGGAAAAACGAAGGCAGAATTCAAGTCCCCTTCTTCCCAGTCTTAATCGTGACTCACCGGCGGCGTTCGCTCGAAGGTCCACCTGGCCGAGGGTTCTGAGAAATGACTGGGGCTCTTGGTACAACCCGGAGGCACAGCCTCCTTAATTCCTTCCCAACTCGCAGCTGCCGGGTGCTGCAGTGTTTTGCTTTCAAATATCGCAATCTGATTTGTCTGACATCCTGTCAGTCAGAAGCTGGCGGGGACTTGACGCAGGCGAGTGGTTGTGCGGAGGGGATGGGCGGGACATCCTCCGGCCATTGGCTGCGGCGCTAAGCTTGCTTGAAGCGTAGGAGACAGACCTGGGGACCCAGCTGGGCGCTCACCTGGTGGGGTCCCCTCTAGTGGACGGAGGAAGAACGTTGGAGCAACCTTCCTCCCCGTCCTCTGGCAGTGCAGGAGAGCTCAAGAGATTGCTCACCTCCACCTGCCCGACAGGTGTCCTCCCTTCTTATTCTCACGCCCACCTCCGGGCTTTGCTATTCCCGTATTCCACGTCCCCAAAGCCTAAACGTCCTTCCAGACCTAGCTCCCCTCCAAGTCCTCGAGTATACTGGGAGCCAGACGTACCTCTCCTGTCCTGCCCTCCGGTGCCACCTGTTGTCTAGGCTCCACATCGCGCTTCCCAGCACATCTGCAGCTTAGCAATACCAAAGGGCGGCCGCGAGCCTTCCACCCGACTGCCCTTTCCCCCGTGTTGAGCTGTACTAATGCCATCTCTGTGGAGCTTTGCAGATGTCAAAACGCTCTCCATCGCACACGCATTTTCACGCGCACGCTTTTTTGGTTCAGATCCTCACAGCAACTCTGAGAGGGACACTGACCTCACGCCCATTTTACAGACGAAGAAGTGACATTTGGGAGAGACCTCAACGAGGAGAAGGAACAGTTCTGGGTTCAGATCCCGGAGCAGGGAGAGCTCCGAGAGAACACTCGAGAGGGCGGGGAGAGCGATGCGGTAAGAGCCACCCAAAGGCGGCGGGGCTGGTGCTAGGAGCTGAGATCCGAGTAACGCGCCAAGGACAGCTTCTAATCTGTTCGGATTTCATCCTACATTTAAAGAGAACCACCGAATAAGAAGGGAAGTGACAAGGTCACCGTGACCATTCTGAAGCAGGGGGGCTCTTGGACTATTAAATGGCCGCCCCGGTATAGTTTCCCCGTACCCACATTCTGTGGTTTGCTATCATCATAAACAGGGCTTAGAAGGAGGTGAATTCTCAGCTTTATTCCTGGAAGTGGGAGCTTTGAGTGAGCAAAATTCTAAGGCTTTTGGTCTATCCCAAGATTTCTGAAGACTCGCCTGGATGAAACTGAATTAGTTCCCCCACAGCTCTTGCGAATAATTAACCCGAACCCTAAAATTCTGGCAGCTTCCCTGCGGATTTTGAAACGCTTCTGACGATTGGTCAATAACTTTCCACGGCCAAGAAACGGGAGACACCATTGGCTGGACGTAGCGGGCGGACTCCGAATGTTAGTCCTGTGGTTGCCATAGCGACCGGGAGGCTGAGCGGTCCAGATTCAATACCCCTGACCTACAGGTAGGAGGCGGTTCCAGTTAGGGGCGGGTCCCTGAGGTCCTGAGGAGGAGCACACGGCGCAGCCCATGGGACGCCCCCTGAGATCCGCAGCCCCCGGGTGCGTACGGAATCCCGGTGCCCCTTCCCGGAGGTGTGCCCTCAATGTCCCCGCCCGCGGCTCGCCTTCTCCTCCCAGCTCCTGTGAGCGGCGTGGACGCCTGACCCCTTTGCCTCAGCCTTTGCAAGTGCACAAACGTTTGGGGGGTCCGGTGCCGGGTGGTGGGAGAGCCGGGTGGTGGGAGAGCCGCAGGTTGCTGAGCGCTAACCCCCGGTCCACCCACACCATCGGCTGCCCCTCAGCAAATGCCTTTCCTATTTGGGGACTTGATTTACCCGTATGTAAGACGGAAGGGTGACACTGCAGTCTAATGGTCACTAGTCGGCCGCTAGAGTGCCTTCCAGCCCTCTGACACACTTTCTCAGTCTAAAAAGCATACCTAACGGGGTTATTAGTCTGAGAGTGCTTTGAAAAATGTAAAATGCTTCCAAGATGTTTGATAGCATATCACTAAATCGTTAAAAATCAACTGTAGTCAAAACTACTTAGGCAAATTCCATAAAATTCCACAAAAAAGTAACAGTATAGCTGGCTTAGTATATGTACTAATATATCTTGATATACCAATGTACATACCTATCTATATACATATGATATATTGATATGCCAATATATACTTAGTACATATTGATATACCCTCTACAGTAATATGTGTAAAATACTATAGTATAAATGCATAAATTAGCTATATAATAACATTTTTGTAAAAAGAGATGGTAGAATGAGAGCATGCCTATTGTTATAATTATGTGAGTTAAATATAGAATCTAGTTCTGGGAAGATCATAAACAAATGAATTAATGATATACAAAATAAGATTGGGTAGTGAAAAGTGCTTTCAAAGAAATAAAGTAGAGTAAGGGTCTGGAGACAGATGGGCTGGTGCTTCTTAAGAAAGGGTGGTCAGGGAAGACATTCCTAAGAAGGTTTGAGCAGAAGCCTAGACGATTTTAATGACAGGAACTTTGTCCATAGAGTGAGAACAGGTAGTCTCCATGCCACAAGGGAGATATTACAGAAGTCAAGATGTCCCTGGGGGAAGAGGGTTAGTCTTTAGTCTTAATAACTGCTTTCAAATTCTTGAAGTATAGTCATATAGAGTATCTCACTGTGACTCACAATAAGAAAGGCACTTACTTTACATTATAACCCAGAGCACACACATACACATAAAAATTTCACAAACCTAAATTTTGAAAAATCACCAATGAAGAAGAGAAATAAGATTTTTATTCTGAGTGGTTCCAAGGTTAGAAGTCAGGTGGGCTAAAGGGGGGGGGGAGGGAATTCACTTTGATATAGGAAGGAACTTTCTAGCAATTAGAACTGCCCAACAGTGATGCCTCATTGAATTTTCAAACTGCATTCTGAAGAACCTTAGCATTCTGTGAAAAATCAAAACAGTTTCAAATGTTTGCTTTGTATTTTGGAACTGTATGCAACATCTAGCTTTTCTCATGGTCACTCAAGTGTAGTAAATGTCCAACTTTGCATGTTAACATTTAGTGTGTGCCACCTTAGACATTTCCCTGGAGGTCAATTGTGAGCAGAGGTCAGGCTTCATGGGTTTGAAGCCTGATTCCACCTTACTCCTCGTAGGATCTTGGACAAGTCACCAAAAGCTTCCCTCTAAACTTCAGCCCTCTTGTGTGTAAAACAGTGGTGACACCTCACTCGATTACTGTAAGGATTGTGTGAAGTCTCTGTACAGGGGGCCATAAGTGCTCAATAAATGATAGCTATTATTTGAAGCTGTTAGTACAAAGTCTCTGTTTATATCAAATCCTAACGTTAGAAGAGCCTCCTGAGGTCAGGCTGCATCAACTGCTTCCTTGAATCATCATGCTAATCCTCACAAGTGTCCTGAGAGGAATGTGCTCTCATCCTTTCCAGTTTAGGAAGGAAGAAATGAGCCCAGAAAACTAGACCTATTTAGTGGCAGGACTAGAACCCTGAACGCAGGACTGGATACCCTTGACTGCTGCACCTGGGAATTGCTTAAACCTATGAGTTGGTCAGGAGGAAGGTATATCTTCACTGCTCTTTCTCAGATTCTAGGCCCGTGACAACCTGTCATGTACAGTTGTACAAACAAGTACCCCAGTGAGGCACCCCTGAGCAGTGCTCCGTCCACACCTGGGCTGCACCAACTCCCCTCTCGACTTCCCAGGTAGGTTGGGGAGGGCTGGGAGGTAGCAGTGCTGTCGTTGGGTGGCAGGGATAGCGATTGTTTTGAACATTTCCATAATTTCTAACAATTTTGCAACATTTTGATAATTTAGATGCATTATTATTATAATAAGAGAATAATTTTTTAAAAATATTTTTTAATTGTAGGTGGACACAATGCCTTTATTTTTATTTATTTATTTTTATGTAGTGCTGAGGATCAAACCCAGTGCCTAAGTTAGTCGAACACTCTACCACTGGGCCACAACCCTAGCCCCAATAAGAGAATAATTTTAATCACCATAATTCTAGAATACTGATGCATTTTTTTTTAGTAACAGTTTTATTAAAGTTAGGGAAGAGGATGGTTCTTATTGAAACAATCAGCATTGAAGGGTTTGTGAACGGCGTTGTTTTTATAGACCGTTAAAGATATTGTTACAATGGAGTGGCGATTGTGCTGTGATCATTATTGATTTTTTTTTCTGTTATTTTGAATCTCTTAATTTCTTGGAGGGTAATACCAAGTAATTCAATTAAATATTAAATTCTTAGTATAGATTACCAACCAATGAAGGTTGAGAAATGTGGCTGAAGGTGACAGAATAAAGTAAGGAACAGATACCTGGGGGAGGGGGTTTAGCTTAGCATAAAATTATTTATTTAATCCTTCATTCATTAGTATTTACAAATGGTATAAGTTCGGGCCCGGGGAGTGGGCAAGATTAACCCCAAGTCCACTCATGAAAAAATGAACCCTGGAAATTAGACTGTCTGTGCTGATCACAACTAAAAAGTAGACCAATGTGTAAACTCTTTTTAGATGTCAGAGAACAGGCAGTGCCACACAGCAATTCCTGAGGCTAGAAAAGCAAAATGAGCCCTACAGTCGTCCCCACTAAGACTGTAGACAGTTTCCAGGCCACATTATAAGGGTGGAGGGAGTGATACAAAGAAATTCTGGATTTCTGAGTTGAGGGGTGCTACAGTTTGGATCTTGAATGCACCCCAAAGGCCCATGTGTTGAAGGCTTTGTTCCCAGACCGTCACTATCGGAAGGTAGCAGAACCTCTAGGAGCAGTGGCTAATGAAGGAGTTGGTCGCTGGGGGCGTGCTCTTGAAGAGGATATGGGGTCCCTGGTCCCTTCCTGTTTCCCTTTGCTTCCCATCTGCCATGAGTGAATAGGCCTCCTCTGCCATGTGTTCCCACCATGGAGTAAGGTGCTGCCACAGGCCCAGAGTGAAGGGCCAAGCAGCTACGGATTGAAACCTCTGAAACTGTAACTCCAAATAAGCTTTTCCTCCTTTTAAGTTGATTATCTCAGGTATTTTGTCACCGTGACAGAAAGCTGACTAACAGAAGGAGTTAGAGATCAGAGTTTCAGGGAGGCTAAAGAATCCAGAATTTACAAGCTAGAATACCAGAGGTGGGGAGCTGCAGACAAAAAAGTTCATAAATCTAAAGAGGGGTCTCCCCAAGTCTTCGGCTGAGTAATACTCTGCTCATGCATGAAAAGAAACTAAGACTGGGGCAGAGGGCAGCAGGCTGAGCACTTTCTGGGGCTACTCAGAACGGTCACATTTCATGTTCCCATGAACCAGAATGGAGAGGCATTGGATTAGAGAGGGGCTGGGGAGAGTCACAGAAGCGCATGCCCTAGTAGTTCCCAGGTAAAAAGGTGCTCTGCACCTTTCAGAGTTTGAAATCCTGGAAGGATCATGTATAAGTTACTGAGAAGTACGCCAGAGGCGGGGGAGTACAACATTCTTTTCAAGAATACATCACAGTGCATCACTCAGCAATGTAATTCACAATATCTAGTCCCCATACAAAATCGCCATGAAAAGACATGGAGAAATATGACCCACATGCTGGGGAATAACCAATCAATAAAATAGTCCCAGAAATGACAGAGATTCTAGAACTAGCAGAAAAGGACCTTAAAGCAACTATTATAAATCTTACAAATATGCTCAAGGACGTAAAGGAAAACAGGAACACGACGAGGCTAGGAATGGAAGAGGCTTTTTTTTTTAACTTAAAAAACTGTTTTTAAAACAAAATAAAAGTTCAATTGATAGCATATGCAGAAGCTTAGACACTATGGAAGGTGAGAGAGAGGTGTGTGTGGGGGGGCTGAGGACATAACAATATAGGAAAGGAGAGAGAAAGCAGAAAAAAAGAGAAAACAGTCACTGAAAAATAAAAGATTAAAAAAGTAAAAATAAAAATGAAAAAACAAAACAAAACAGAAACAACCAGTGGTTGAAAGTTTTCCAAATTTGATGAAAACTATAAGTGTACAGATTCAGGAAGTTCAGTGGAGCCCAAACATTTAAAAGCATTAAAGAAAATTATGCCCTTAAATCAAATGGCCGAGGGGTAATTAGAGTAATTAAAATCATAGAAAGTAGAACGGTGGCAGCCTGGGGAGTGGGGTGGGGGGGGGAATATGGAGGAAGTACCATCTTGTATTAAACACCAAGGAGAGTTTCACTTCTGCAAGATGAAAGATTTGTAGAGCTACATGGTGGTGATGGTTGCACAATATTATGAATTGAATTCCAAATTCCACTGAACTGTATACTTAGAAATGGTTAAGATATTGTTTCCAATTAAAATAATAATCACTTGAAATTTTTTTAAAATCTCAAAGATATGGAAATGGTTAATATGGTTAATTTTTATGCTGTGTGTATTTTAACACAATAAAAAATTGGAAAACATCAAATTGCTGTATAAAAGTGATAAACAAAAGATTAAAAATAGGTAAATAAAAAGACATATTAATGGGCCGGGGGTTGTGGCTCAGCTGAAGAGCACTTGCCTGGCACGTGTGAGGCCCTGGTTCAATCCTCAGCACCACATGTAAATTTAAAAAAAAAAAAAAAAAAGGTATTGTGTCGACCTACAACTAAATTAACCAAATATATTTTTTAAAAAGACATATTACTTACAGAGGAGAAGAATTATAATAGACTTCTCATAAAAAATTATGCAAGTTGGAAAATAATGGATGAATATATTTTAAAGTGCTAGGGAGAGTTGATAGTAGGGGGAAAACCTGATGAATCCAATGGCCAGTGAAAATAACTCTCAAAAAAATGAAAGAAAATGATGACCATTTCAAACAAACAAAAACTTAGAAAGTGTGTTATCAGAAGATCTGCTTTGCAAAAAATGCTACTAGAAGTTCTGTAGATAGAAGCACAATGGTGCCAGACAGAATCTTGGATTTACACAGGATTAAAAAGCACCCAAAATGGTAAACATCAAATACATTTATTCTTATTTTAATCTCTTTAAAAGATAATTGAGTGGTTACATAAAAAAAAATGTGAGATTCATAATATATGTAGGACTATTTTTTTCAGTTGTAGTTGGACATAATACCTTTATTTTATTTATTCATTTTTGTGTGGTACTGAGGATCAAACCCAGGGCTTCCAACATGCTAGGTGAGTACTCTACCACTGAGCCACAACCTCAGCCCATAGAACTACTTTTATTTCTATATACTATCAATAAACAATTGGAAATTGAAATTTTTTAAAATTCCATTTTCATGACAAAAATATGATTTACCTCTAAGATTCAATTTAACAAAATATGTGCTGTATCTGTACACTAACTACAAAATATCACTGAGAATTTTAAAAAGACCTAAACCTAAGCAAGGCATAGTGGGGCACACCTATGATCCCATTGACTCAGGAGGCCAAGGCAGGAGGATCCTAAGTTCAAGGTCAGCCTGGTCAATTATCGAGCTCCTGTCTCAAAATGAAAAATAAAAAGGGCTGAGGATGTGGCTCAATGGTAAAGCACCCCTGGGTTCAACCCCCAATACCAAAAAAAAAAAAAAAAAAAAAAAGGTTAGATCCCCAGCACTGCAACAAACAAACACACTGAGGAAGGAAATGTTGGTGAGGATTTGGAGCAATGGAAACAAATAATGATACATGCAACAGTTTGGAAGATTTCCAAAGGTGTCATTCTAAGTGGAAAAAAAAGACAGACATGACAGTACTTAATGACCAAAAGCATTTCTATCAGGTGGGGCAGGTACTGACTGCAGAAGGACTTGGGAACTTGCTTGGGATGAAGGTAAATTTAATATCCTTATCATGGTGGTATCATTAGGGATTGAACCCAGGGGTACTCTGCCACTGAGCTGCACACCCAGTCCTTTTTATTTTTATTTTGAGATAGGGTCAACACTGATGAATTTTTATTGTACATCAGTTATACCCCAGTAAAGCTCAATTTGTAAGATGAAAATAAAATTCAGAGCTTTAAGTAGCTCTGTCAGCAACATCAGCAGCGAGCTCTTGCAGATCTCCTACTGCAGACCACACAAAGTGCGGGGGACTTGGGGGTCACAGAACTTGGTGAAGCTCAGCCTCTACCCAACAAGATTTCTCAGTGCAGCCTGTAGATAGAACAGAACCCCACTGTGATAATACCAGTGTGAAATGGTCCCTACAAATGTTGCATTTTGCAGTTCTAGGTGCTTAGAAGAAGAGTTAGCAGAGGTTTTCCACAAACAAATGGAATGCATCACAGAACTTTGCTAACATGGACAACTTTGCACAGAAGGACGAACGCCTTGGTAGACCTTCCAGACACACCAACAAGATACAGAAAGGTCCAGTCAATTTCAATAACCCGTCTGTGCCAGGAGAAGAGGGCTCTTGACAGTACATGAGAGCACACTGGGTGGGGATATAGCAAATCCTGGGTTGTGTCCACCAGCCACCCTGAAGGCTTGCCTTAGCTCCTGCTGCCCTAATGGTGATGACTGGGAAGAAGGTCCTCAACAACAACAAAAAGGCAGACTTGTTATTTCCGTGTATCTGTTAAGAATCACAGTCCTCAAATTTTAGCTGTGTAAGAGATCTTGTCTTCTTTGATTCCTAAAACTCAGTGTAAGTTCTCACCGAAAGCCCCCATTCTTTTGCTTTTAACTGATTTCTGGGTTTATAGTTAAAGTTTGTTTCTTACAGGCAGCCAAGAGTTGGGTCTTTCTTTCCTACTTAACCTGACCATCTCTGTCTTTTTTCTGATATTTTAGACTGCATATATTTAATGTGATTTATTCCTATGTTGTTTAAGTCTGTTGCTTTGTAAATTGCTTTTTATCTGGCTTGTTTATTCTTTCTTCTTTTTTTTTTGTCTTTTATATTGTTCTTATGCTTCTACTTTATCTCTTTTGTTATTGGGAATAACTCTTTGTAGTATTTTCCTCACGGTTGCTATAGAGCAAAGTTTGGCAAAATGTGGCCTTTGGGTCAAATCTGACCTGCTGCCTGTTTTTATAAACAAAATTTTGTTGGAACACACCTATTCCTATTTACTTATGAATTATCTGTGGCTGCTTTTACTCTGGAATGGCATAGTTGGATGGTTGCAGCGAAGACGATGCAGTTGGCCAAGCCTAAAATAATTACTATCGAGCCCTTGATAGAAAAAGTCATTGATCTCTTCTTTGGACTTTATAGAAAACATCTTTAACTTATCACAACCAACCATGAAGTGATGTCCTCACACTTCACATGGAGAAGAGCCTTAAAGCAATATATTTAAATTTTTCTCTTTGTGGCCTTTGCGTTGTTATCATCAAACATTCTACTTCTACACATAGATATTATAAACCCCACACGACTTTGTTATTATTTTTGCTTTAAACATTCAAATTGTTTTTAAACCGATTCACGTTTTATATTTATATTTAAAATGATCCATTGATACTCATAATTTTATATTTTACATATACCCAAATATTCACTATTTCCAGACTCTTCATTCCTCTATGTAGATCCAGGTTTCCCATTGGTATCATTTTTCTTCTGCGGGAAGGACCTGCTTCAGTGTTTCCTATAGGTCCAGTTTGCTGGTGATCCATTCTTTCCATTTTCGTATACTTTAGAATTTTTTTGGCCGGGTGAAGCAGCACACATTGATTGCCCTTCTCAGAGATCCCATTCTTCTTTGGCCAGTTTCAGTGACTTGATTGTTTCGTATATTTCACCCATTAATTTTTTTTTTCTTTCTGACTGGGAAGGCAATTCCAGCCCCATTTTGGCTGGAGACGGAGTTTCAGTCCCCCAGAGGGTTTTTTCAGGTCCTGTTTCACCGTGTTCTCTCATCAAGAGAGCGGCTGGGGCTCTGCCACCTCTGTAGCCAGAGCCTCCATCTCAGTCACCTTTCCTTCTCCTGGGAGAATGGCCTCCTTGTACCCTCTTCTAACCCCCTGTCTGTACTGCCTCCTCTATAAACCCTTTGTTAGTTTACAAACTTAGGCTTTTAGAGACCAAAGTCTTGCAGCTGCTCTGCTCTTTGACTTGCTGGAGCGCATCCTTAAGGCAAAGGGTGCGTCGCCATCACCTACGTAAATGAGGAGCAGTGGCAAAGGGAGGAAAAGAGGGAACGTGCACTGCTCTCTCCGCACTTTCAGCTTTTTCTACGTGCTCCATGCTCAGCCCAGGCAAATGAGGCTAGAGTGTCCCTGTCTCCATTATTTCATCATTCATTTATTGAGGGCTTACCATGGGCCTGGCTCAGGAGGGGGAAGCACAGTGTAGTAATTAAGAGCCTGTGATCCTGAGACAAATCATATTCAAATCCCAGCTGTTCTAGTTATGGCTGGGTGATTTGGGTGAGTAACTTAACCCCTCTGACCTTAGGTTCCTCATCTGTAAGGCTGGTTCCTACTAGAACCCCAGAGAGGCTTCTATTAGCATTGGGTTTTCCTCCCTGGAAAAGAGTTTGGCTTTTTCAAAAACTCAGACAGCCAGGTGCTGTGGAGCATGCCTGTAATCCTAATAACTTGGGAGGCTGGGGTAAGAGGATGGCAAATTTGAGGCCAGCCTCAGCCACTTAGAGGGACCCTAAGCAACTTAGTGAGACACTGTCTCAAAATAAAAAGTATAAAGGACGGAGGATATAACTCATGGTAAGGTACAATCCCCAGTACTGGGGGGGAAAAATCAGAGACCAAGAAACCCGCCTACAGGATTGTTTTCATGCAAACACACACCACTGCTGTCCACCCACACCCCTTTCCTTTCTCTCCGCCATCTGGTTCCTCGGCCACGGTATCTTCTCCCTGAGGTTGAGGATTCTGAGGTCAAGATGCTTTGGCTTACTGCTGTGAACAGCCCAGAGTCAGGATGGACCCCACTCAAACTTTGGCTGGGGTGTCAACACCAATGAGTGGGGAGGGGGTCTCGGGAGGGTGTGAGAAGGTCCCTCACTCACACATGAGGCTTCCTGTGGGGGGTGAGCAGGCCTTAACTATTCCAAAATGGTTTGGGGACAGGGAGACCGGCTGGCAGGGGGCCTTTGTTGTGTTAGGGGTGGGGCTGGAGGGAGGGCAGGGGCTTTCATGGTTTGAATTCAGGAATGTCCCAGAAGGGAGCACCGGGCCCTGTCATCAGCCTTCCCGGAGCTGGAGCCGGGTGGGGTGGAAGGGGAAGAGGGAGGGGTGGGGCTCAAAAGCGGTGAGCCCTGTGCTGAACCCACAGGCTGGAGTTTGTAATCGACCTGTTCACCAGATTGACACTGTCAAGTTCTAGCAACTGGGACAACTTCCCAGACCGGGGGAGGGGGACACATCTTCTGAGCACTTCTACGCCCAGCCCAGACATCCACAATGTAAGCCTAGTTTTCTGGAAGCGACCCCCTTTCTGCTTTTGAACCCCACGTCTGCTCAAAGCAGAATCCGCCACCTGCCTTGCACAGCGTCCTAGAGTGCGAGCCACTCCACTCTCTGCGGATCTCTAGGTGACCGACCCGGTCCCTGGAGGACAGAGAGCAATGGTTCTGTCCCCTGTCCTTCCCCTCTTTCCCTTCTTCCTTCCTTTTGCCTGTGACTGACTGCTTCAGTGTGCTTATGTGACCCCCATCTCATTAGTGTGAGACTGGAGAGGGGGAAACCCCAACAACTTACCAAAAGGAAAAGAAAAACAAGTGGGGAAGACTTTTTTTGAAAATTCAGTTTCATGTTTGCCTCTTGTCAAAAGGCAAGTTTCACTGGGCGTGGTGGCACACGCCTGTAATCCCAGTGGGTCAGGAGGCTGAGGTAGGAGGATTGAGAGTTTGAGGCCAGCCTCAGCAAGTTAGGGAGGCCCTAAGCAATTTAGTGAGACCCTGTCTCAAAGTAAAAATTTAGTGAGACCCTGTCTCAAAGTAAAAAAAAAAAAAAAGGGCTGGGGATATTGCTCAGTGGTCAAGTGCCCCTGGGTCCAATCCCCAGTAGAAAAATAAACCAATAAAAGGCAAGTTTCTCTTCTGTTCCATTTAAAATAAAACTTTAGTGTACACCTCTGTGTTTTCTGTATTTGTCAGTTCATTTTTTTTGGTGCTGATTTTTATTTTGTTTTTGTGGTTTAGGTTTTACTGCTGCATATCCAACAAAACCCTCCATTCCTTTTAAATCACAAATTCCAGTAGCTCCAGAACAAGAAAAAAAAGGATTTAACAGTCAAGCCAAGAGATTTTATCATAAGCAGGTAATGACACTGTGTTGGAGGTGGGTTATTTTTGGATTTTAGCCTGAAGACATGTTGTGAGTCTCTGTGAACAGCAGAGGGCAGTGTCGTCAAAGGAGTCACAGCCTCCTCCCCGCCCTTGCGGCCATTGGGGGGCTGTAAGACTGTCTTGGGACCTTACAGCAGCCTTTTCTGGACCCATGGTGTCAAAAATATTGAGGTGAACCACATATCTTTAAAAAGTATATTTGAAGATCATAAAAATATAAAATTCCCCCAATCCCATGTGTACTCAGTTAAAGAAAAAAAGTCTCACTCTAGTCCATATTACATGGGAAGAAATCACGATTTTCTTCAAATAACATGAGGGAGGAGTCTGATAAATTTAGAATTACCTTCGTGAGGAGGCCCGCACACCTTTTCCAAAAAGCTTCCTTAAACAATAGCTCATGACTGCGCTCCTCCCTCTGCACCCTCTTCCCCACATTTCTGTGTCTCCTTACCCTCTTTTCTACTTTGGGGTTTCTGGGGCCTGGCCTTCTCCCCTCTCACCAGCAGGGGGCCGAGGCAACTCCATGGTTCATTCCCTCATTGAACCAAGACCTGGAGAAGAACCCTCTGGAGGAGCGATGGCCTCAGTCACCTTGTGCTGTCTTGTAAATGTGGTCATCCTGCCACCTTGCCCAGGAGGTCTAGGATCTGAACACGGGCGAGGTGTGACGCTGAGGGCCCCGGCTTCCTCAGCCTGGTTCCTCCCCCGTGAGCAGGAGTGAGGAGCCAGAGGGCGTTGGCAGTTCACGTGAGATATTTCAGGATTTTAAGAAGCAAACAATAAGGAATACTGTGCACACCCCCACCCCACCCCCACGCGTACTTTTTAAAATTACTTGTAGATTTCCCCAAAGAGGATAAATATTTGCTCAGGCATTTTCTCTCCTTTCTAGTTTCTCTGGATCTTAGCTGCCAGGCCCTTCTCTGCTGCCATCTGGGTTTCCACGTGGCAATCTCACCACACCATAATGTCCCTCTGCAGGGTGATTGCAGCCCGGCCTCACCACTGATTGATCCCTGCCGTGTGTCAAATCCCTTTTAGGTTGTTCCTCTCCTCCGCAGAACAATGCTAACAGGGAGGGTTTATTATTTTAATTTAACAGAAGAGGAAACTGAGTCTTAGGGAGGTAGAGTGACCCACCCAAGGTCACACACGAAGGGTTGGGCACAGAAGAGGCGCTCAATAAATATTTGCTGACTCAGCGTTGGAAGAATTAGCTCTCAGCCCAGGCCCAGCTCACTCCAAAGCCTCTTGCGCTTTCCACACTGCACCACGCCTGCTTTTGTGGCCTGCGAGGCCATAAATTTGGCTGATGAAAGTCAGCATGTGTCTAGAAAGGGCGCTGGCAACTAGAGCTCTGGCCAGGGCGAGATGTGAGTGATTGGGTCTGGAGACGCAGGTCCAGAGACCTCAGGGGCCCGACTTTGATAAATTGTCATTTAAAACACTAGCATTTTCAGAACATTTTCTACCAAAGAAGCCAGGGTGGCAGCCAGCCGAAGCTACAGGCAGCATCAAACACAGAGTCAGTGCGCTCGGAAGTTTGATCCCCACTTTTCAAATATGGCGACACTACGTATTTGAACTTGATGTTAAAGGCATGGAGGTTAATGGAAAGGGCATGGGATCCCAGATCAGGCCCCCCGCCGTGTTCCATTCTGTCACTGGGTGCTGTCACACCAGCTGTGTGTCTTTTCTAGGCTTCAACTTCCTCATCTGAAACATAGAATTCAGGTCATATGTAGACACAGAAAATCAACAGCGCACTGAGAAGCTAAGGAGCTTGTAGAACATCACCCAATAATTTAGTGAGGCAATGCGAGTTAAAAGGCCTCCCCGCCCTCCTCAGGACAGGAACCGTCCACACCCCGAGCCTGAGCTCATCCCTGGCCTGAATCCTCACCTCCCGTCGGGGCCCACTAGTGTGTCTGGAGCACGGGGAATGGCTGCCTCCGGAGGGCGCGCCTTCCTCCCCAGGCCAACTGTGCAAGGCTGTGGCCTCCTTGCCAGCTCACGGTCCCCAGGAGATGGCCGCTAGGGGCAGAGTCCTTCGCAGGGCTTGGTGTCTGCACGGACAATCTGTGCGGCTGGACCTTCTCTACCTGTGTGCATCTGGCTGGTCCTCTGAGCTCAGGCCGAGCACAGCCCCGGGACCTGCTGGAAGTTTGCTCCCATCTCCCCTTTTCATTCCCAATTCACCATAGGTCGAGGGCACCTTTTCCCAAGCTGGATGGCCCTAAGGACGTGCTAAAGCCCCTCTGTGAACCAGAGAAAGCAAAGCTGGGGCTGCTGCCTCCTCCGTCCCTCCCTGGGTTGCTCATGGGGTTCAAGAGCAGTTAGAAAACCACAGACCTGGCCACCTGCCCTCCCCCACACCTTGCCTCTCAGGTTCGCAGGTGGTGAGGGACGTGTGTCCCAGAGAGGGCGTGTGCCCTGGGGAGAAGCCAGCTCTCTTACCTGTTGGTCTGTACTCTCTGCACTTCTTGGGCCACAGTCAGACTCAGTGGAAGCGCTCTCTCTCTCTCTCTCTCTCTCTCTTTTTGGCAGTGCTGGGGATTGAACCCAGGACCTTGTGCATGGGAGGCACAAACTCTGAGCTAGATCCCCAGCCCCCTCAGTGGCAGCTCTGTAGCCTTGGGTGAAGTCATCAGGGTGGATGGACACATTGTCCTGAGACCATGAAACTAAGGCCTTTGTCAAAAGAAGCTCTTCCCCGGGGAACTTTGAACTTGCAGGCAATTTTGCCAGTAGATCAGCCGCAGGCCAGAGCTGCTCCCCTCAGGCCTGGCCTCCCCCTGTTACACACCCCAACCAGAGCGACCCATGTCCCTCCACCTTGTGCTCATCTGAGAAACACCAGCTAGTCACTTCTAAAACAGCCCAGAGCCGGGCGGATCACCTTGCTGACCCAGGGTGGTCTTTAGCCAGTGGCTCTGCAGAGCCTGCATTTTCCAAGCCAGAAGTTGGTTTGACATACCAGCGATTTGATACAAAGTACTAATTGGACAGAATTTTAATATCAGACTGTATGAAGATGTGACTGGCTCTCAGCTCTGCAAGTCCTGCCATGTCCCTGCTCCCTCCTCCTCTCCCCTCTCTGTGCCTAGTCTGAGGTCAGGTGACTATGGCTTGTCGTCCATCTTGGCACATGCAGAGGTGCCCATCCAGGACTTGAATCTTCAAATGAGCTCTCAAAGTGCCTTTCAACCAAATGCTGCATGGAGGTACCCTGGGTGGGACGATGGGGACACACCTGCCAATCACTCTGCCAATCCACCCTGCAGACCTCTGGCCCCCCCACCCCCCCACAGGGTCTTGACTCCCTCAAGGCTCTTGCAGCCCTGTGAAGAGCAGTGATGGGGATGATGACCCTGGCTTCCATGCTCTGTCACTGTCCTGCCCCCTTCTCATGTCATGACTCACACAAGCCTCTCACCGTGACACAGGCAAGGGGACAATAGTTTGGCATCTGGCACGGGCTCAGTGCAGCTCTCAAGAGCAGTCAGCAGAGCCCTGGTGAATGTGACTCTCTTCCCCTTTCGCTCCCCACGCCCATTTTCGTTTCTTTGTTTGTTTGGTTTTGCTTCTGAGATGGTCTCAGCCAAGAAGCCAAGGGGTGGCCAAGTTCACACCCTCCCAACTTAACTCACCACTGTCACAAAACATTAGTCACCTGAACTGTCATCCCGCAGGGAAAGGCTCTGGATTTTTATCATCCGCCCAAAGAGCCACCCCCTCCAAGGAGTTGTGGGAGAAAACCTGGATCCCCCGAAGCTGGCTGTCACCTGAAGGTCACCCCACTGTCCCCTCTGCAAGGAGCCTTTGCCAGTCCCTGTGGTTTAAATACCCCTACCCTGGCCAAATTCACATTACCACTGGCAAAGTCTATTTTCAGCAGCTCGGCTCACGGGTGCCACGGGCCAGCTGCAGCCTGCTGCTGCCGGGAGGCCTCTCCGTGGACACTCATTAAGAGCAAAAGGGAGCAAGCACTGTTTCCTCCAGGCCAAGAGGTGACAGTCCTCTTCCTGATTGCCCTGGGCTCAAGCCAGTTTGCAGTGTGGCAGAGTTAAAGTATGACTGAGGTCCAGTAGGGTCAGATTTCACAGATAAAAATACAGGTCTTCAGTTCAATTAGAGTGTGGGATAGCTATTTTATTAGTGTAAGTATGCCCCAAATGCGACATGGGATATGCTTACACTAAAATAGCTATTGGTTGTTTATCTGAAATTCTGATTGAGCTGGGCACAGTGGGTCAGCGCATCCGTCCACATTTTGTGTTTCATCTAGCCACCCTGGCTCCCCAGGGACACGAGTGCTCAGAAAATTCTTGGGAAGAGATATGTCAGGTTTGAGCAGGGGTGGCAGACTGGGACTTAGAGATGTGGGTTTTTTGGTTCCTTTTTAAAAGAACTTTATATATATATTTATATATAATACCTTTTATTTTATGTATTTATTTTTATCCGGTGCTGAGGATTGAACCCAGTGCCTCCCACATGCTAGGCAAGCGCTCTACCACTGTCCCTCAGCCCCTCTTCTGTCCCTAGTTTAAACCTAGAAGAGCCACACACTTCCTGCTGCAGCTTTTCCTAGATTCAGGAACTCTGGAAGCTCAGTGGCATCCAAGACCCAGCACCTTGGATTTAGAGAGAGAAGCTAAGGCCCAAAGAGGTGACTTGTGCCAGGTGGCAGCACCATTTCCTCTGTGCCGAATGCTCTGACCCTTGCCCCGTGGCAGGTGGGCAGGGGAGGTGATTTATAGATAATGACAGTCCTCAGTGGACAGAAGGGGAGCTGACTGCAGGGACAGGAGCCGGCGAACCCAGACACCAGCGCCCAGGCTGAGGGTTGAGAGGACCTGGTGGTGGGTGCAGGTGTGGGGGCTGCAGGGATGAGGAAGCGTTTCTCTAGGGAGCTGTTTGCAGGGTGAGCTTCCCCCCACGAGCGCTCCCTGGGTGTGGGGCACCGTCCTGATACCTTACGGCACTTGCTCATTTAATCCCCATTTTAAAGACGAGAAGACCCCAGGTCACGTGACTAGTAAATGTCAGAGCCAGAATTTGAACCCACACAGTCTCACCATGTTCTCAGTTAAACTAGATTTAACTGTTACCCACGGAACCAGACTAATGCTCTGATGAGATTGTGTAGGAAAGACGGGGAAAGTCACAGGGTTAGGAATCAGGAATTGTGGTCTCCGTGCTTTCTGCCCGAGGAAGGTGGTCAGGGCAGGATGTAGCTGGGCGGCAGAGACTGGAGATGGCAAAATCCAAGTCTGGTGCCTGGGTTCAAATCTGGGGCCCAGCTCTTAGTAGCCATGGGCCCCACTCCTCTGAACCCCACTTGCCTTAATGTGGCTCTGATAGTGCATCTACTGCCAGGGCCGGGTGAGGCGTAAAGGAGACAGCGCCAGGCACTTCACGCTGAGGGCAGGAACTGCCACTTAGGGCAGTGGGACTGTGGGCGAATTCACCTCCCTGTGCCTGGGTGTCTGTGGAATGGGGTGGCATTCCTTCCTCACTGGTGGTGCTGAAACCCAGACAAGCTTGGAAAAGCCCCAGCACCAAGTAGGTGCTCAGTAAACGCTTGCCACGGTGAAGCCTCCTCGTCATTTGAGCCTCTCGCCTGGCCAATGATGACGTTTTCTTACGCCTGGTGACTAGCCTGGGAAATGGTGCAGCTGGACTGCCGTCCCACAGAAGTGGCCGCCTGGCTGCTGTGGCTCTGCTCCTGTCCCTCTCCAGCACAGCTGTGGCATCTAGCACCTGTCCCAGGAGCTGGCCTCCTTTTATCTGGGTTAGAAACGGTCTCCCACGGGAGGCAGGTCGCCCTGGTTTCTCTTCTCAAGGGCCCAGGAGGAAGCTGAGTCAGGAGGTGCCGCGTCCGGCTAACGGAGCCGAGTCCGGCGAGGGACGGCGGGGTTAAAGAATACACAGGACACCAAGGTTCTTCATCCAGGAGGGAGCATGCGCGCTTTATTGCCAAATTTGTTCCCCTTATATATCTTTTTAACAGCTGCGGGAAATCACTCAAAAGTGAGGAGGGAAGAGTAATAACTGCGTCCTTGGGTTACCGTCACGTCACCGTCCCCTATCAGGAGGCTCGAACAGGTCAAGATGTTCCTGAGCACATATGCTCGAGGCAGATAAACAGGGAACCGCAAGCCCGCGTCATGGCCTTGTGAGCTGGCCACATTGACATGCAGAACAAAGAACTGGGGGTTGAGTCCCCAGGGGCCAGGGCGGGCCTGCTACCAACAAGGAGGGTGTGGTGACGCGAAGCTGTCCCCCTCCCCTTACCCAATCCATACCCGGGACCTGCACACCGGCCACATCTGGTGTCCCTTTGTACCCTCATTCCTCTAATGACATGGAAAAATCCAACAACATTCTTTGGGAGGACGATTCGGTGTGGTCCTTGGGAGTCCTGTCCCATGCTCGGTCGCTGAGAGAGACACTGGGCAAGTTGGGAAATGGTGCAGCTGGACTGCGTCCCACGGAAGGGGCACTGCTGCCCGTCCCGTGGGGTGACAGTGAGGCCTGGTGTCAACAGATGCCACGATGGCAGAAAAGAGCCCTGGAGCGGCTGCGACCTAATGCCGCTGCCTTCTCTTGGCTTTCAGGATGACATTCCGGGTCCTGGGTTCTACAACGTCATCCACAAGTCTCCTGTGTTCAACAGCGTCTCACTGTCCAAGAAGGGGACCTGCACCTTTCCCTCCATGGTGAGAGCCGTCCCCGGGGTGGGGGTCAGTCATTCCTTCCTGCAGTGTGGAGTCAGGCCCTGGACACGGGGTCCTTCCTCTCCAGAGGCCTTGCTTCTAATTAGGAGAGGAAATGCCTCCTCAGATTGCACACAGGTATATTGGACCCAGTGTCAAAATAATTTTCTTTTTCCATTGTCACATGTTGCCAGAGTGGAAAGAGAAGCCAGAGGCACATCCAGACCCGATCATCCAAACCAATGCTGTCGTCATCAAGTGGGCCAAACAGGTGTCCTCCTGAGATTTTTAGGCATGACAGGAAAACGTCACTCTTACCATATTTCGTCCTCAGATCGGTTTTGACCCCGTGCTTGTTCTAATTAGGTTGTTCAGATTATTGAGAAATCTGACAGAACCAAAAAGAAAGCAGGCAGCGGCCTGAATTGTGATCCCAACTTCTTCCTCCTCTTTTTTCTGTATGGTGTGGGATTTTTCTCTTTGTTGAGGTCTCTAGACAATCAAATAGAAGAATCAAACATGAAGAAGTGCCCATGACCCTGACCAGACCTGGGGAAGATGTTCATTTCCTATTTTTCTTTTTTTTTTTTTCGCTGGCCTTGGAACCCAGGACTTCACTCAGGGTCGGCCCTTGCGCTACCCCTAAGCCACATTCCAATTTATAATTATTTTTAAGAAAAGGACTGTCAGCCTTAAAAATATTTATAAATTGGCAGGAAAAATAGATAGAGTGAGAGAAAGGTCCAAACTGGGGCGAGACCAGCTGAGGTAGAAGAGAGGACAAAACCCATGTACCCTCTGTCCCTCCAGAGGTGATCCTGGTCTCCTGCATAGACGAGCTGTGATTCCTGACATCAGAATTGACTTTTTAAGCCACACGCAGGGACCATGTAGGACACACTGACTGTAGCCACTTCTTATTGGAAGTCAAGTTTGGCAGAGTTGAATATTCAAGAAGCAAACCGCCTTGGGAGTTCACTCCCCATTACTGAGGAGGCCAAGGACACACATGTCCCCACTAGTCCACACACAGAAGGCCCCTACCTATTTTTCTGTCCCCACCCCAGGAAAAAGGCTCAAAAGCAGTTGGCAAAAGAAGTGCCATCTTACAATGCCCTGGCACAGAGAGGGGACTTAAGAACTGATCCTGACTCAGTGGTGGAACGCGATGTGACCTCAGGCACGTCACCCTTCGTGTCCTAGTTGTCTCATAAAAGTGGAGCCTCCCTGGAGGCGCTGGGCAGGTTGCATGAGTGAAATGCTCTTTGAAACTGCAAAGCATCATGAACAGGCTAAATGTTATGATTGTTGCCACCTGAGTCACGAACAGGACTTCCGGCAACACCTAGGTTTTCTCTCCCAGCACTTCTTCACAGGGAGGAGCTCTGCCCTTCTTCCTTGGTGCCAAGACGGGGACTGGATTGGAGAACGACATCCTGCTAGGATTAACCTCCAGATGATGAGGCTGGGCCGTCTGGGGGAGAGGGGCCCACGGGTAGCTCTGAGATTATGGAATCTACTCAGGCCTTTCCAAGCTCAGAACCAAACCCTTTGGGGGCTCCCTTCTTTTGAAGGCAGACAGCGAGTTGTCCTCCCTTGGATGGTGGAGGGACTTTGCATTCATGTTTTCAAACACTTAAGTTCCTGCATCCTTGGGCAGAGGCCCCAGGTGTCGATGCCATCTGTCAGGTGTCCCCGCATCGGCCCAGAGACAATGCCATCTGTCCACCCCTCTTGCAGTGACCCTCACATTGAGCACCTTCTCCACTTCCGGATCCCAAGGCTCTGAGGGAATTAGAGTAGCCCTCACCAGAGGAAGAGGGCCGTGGCCAGGAGGAGTGTGACTTGTGGGTGAGGCTGACTCAAACCTCTGGGTCTATAAATTTTAGAAACTTCCTGGTCACCTGGAACAGCGACGGCCGCCTTTTGAGAAGACCTGTCATCTCTGTGTTCACAGGGTGTCAAGTGCCCCATTAATAGATTCCAAGTCTTTGTTCCAGAATTTTTCACAGGACTGGCTAGGAAGGCAAATGACACAGGGGGCCTTTCTCTGTGTGCCGGCAGGAGTGACACCGGAGGAGTTAGTGTGTGCTGGAGAGAGGTTCCCAAATGCCAGTGTGTGGCCAGATGGGAGACCACAGCCCCGCAAGTGAACCAGGGCTGTGGAGGGTGGGCGAGCGAGTCACTCTACACTGTGCTCTGAAGCTAATCCCGTGACAACACCTTTGAAACTTTGCCTCTACTGGGGATTTTTTAGAATAATTTTCCCCCAAATGAAAAACTAATGTCTTTTTAGCCAAAAAGATTCTATGATGGAATAAGTTTGCAGTTAGTCAGGGACCACGCCTCTTCACCTACTCCTTTTAGGATGGGGGATTGGTGCAGGTCGGCTGCCTGGCTAAGACTGTTGGTCCCACCACTTAGCGAGCAGAAGTCCAATTTCCTCACCCATAAAGTGCAAGGACCTTTCACTGCATTTAATTTCCTCACCCATAAAGTGCAAGATATTCACTCCTCGGGGTTCTCATGAAGGTTAAATGCAGAGCAAGGTCCTTGGTAAACAATTGGCCAAAATGCAAAGGATGCACCAGGCTATGGGGCCTGAACTTCAACACATTCTTAGATCAGAAGGAGGCAGAGCTGGCCTCGAACCAGACTAGGCCCTAGCTGAGGACACTCCCACCTCTGGTGGTCCCTAGACCAGGCCTGGGCACCGTCACCACTGAGCACAGAGTGGGGTGGGCCGAGATGGAGGGCGGACGCCTTCCTCAGCTCCCCCCACTTCTGTGTTTGTGTTTATTGACCCCTGTCAACCCGGGGGAAACCCAGGGCAGTGTTCTCAAGCTTTTAACCATAAAATTATGGGAAATGTTTTATCAGACTCCAACACTAGCCATGCTGTGCCGGGGCAAAGCGATGTTATCGATGAGTTTCTGTGGCTTTTGTCCCTGTTCATTTGACAAACATTGATTCTGTTTGTTTTTCGACTGAAAATAGTTTATCATGTCTCCATGAAAGGAACGGCATTGGGTCTGCTGAAACAGCAGGAATATTATAGGGTTCTAGGAAAGGCAGTGATGGGAGGGGTGGAGGCGTGGGTAGAGGCTGGCCTCCGCTGCCTTGAAGACGCGAGAATCAGTTCCTTGAGAATCAGTTCCTCGCTCGGACCATTTAACCTAAGAAACAAGATGCAGGTTTACTCAGAGGGAAAGTCTCGGCCAGGGAAGAAAGTCTAAAACTTCCCATCATATAGATTACCCAACCGCCCATGAGTCAACCTTAACAGGATTGGGTGGAAATGCATTTATGGCAAAATTATTTTTGCCAAGTCCCAAACAGATGATGAATAATTTGGGTTAATTTACAGATGTGGAACAGGTCCAAACTCGCATTTTCCCAGGGCAGATCCTCAAAGCCCCAGGTCAATTGATCATCGTTACCCCGTGGTCTCCATTTAGAAGGTGCTTTTAGATCCAGTGCTGGGCGCCATCATTTTGATCTGTCCTTCAGGGCCACAAGATTATGTGACAACACTGATTCCTTTGGCTTCTTCCTCACAGAGCGTCCGCTTGGGCACCATCATTTCTAAATACCCTGCGGCGAATGCGTACACTATCCCATCAGATTTTATTTCGAAGAAAGACTTCAGTAATTCCTGTTCTAGCATGTTCCAGTTGCCAAGCTTCATGAAAATTCTCAAATCCGAAACCCCCGCACCAAACCACTACAACGTAAGAACGTTGCACGTGTCTGCTGAGTGCGTGCGGACGTGTGGACGAATGGTGGGCTAAAGCAGGGGAGGGTGGGCTCAGGGGGATGGCATTCTGTGCAGCTGGCCAGTCACTCAGCATCTGTTGAGGACCAGACAGGTCCCTGCAGCTAGAGAAGCCTGAGCAGCAGGGGGTCAGGATGGAGCCGCAGGAAGACCTCTGCCCTAAGGGACACTGACTGCAATCTGACTGTCATCTGACTTTTCAGGGACACAGTTTCCTCACCTGTAGCGATGGGTACATTCCTTAGCACTCTCCCTGCAGACAGTACGTTTACTGTTCAGATTCTTGTAGGGAATGTGAACCCCTGTCTTTCCATTTCAGAAGACTGTTTTTCGTTTTGTTTTTTTGACACTGTGCTCCACCAACTGTGACCATGTTGTAAATGCCGAGGCAGAATGGACCATGGGCACGGTGCATTCAGGAAGGTTGGGTCCACACCTTGGCTCTGCCCGTCTCTAGGTGGCTCTGGGCAGGTCCCTTAACTTTTCAGGACTTAGTCGAATGATCTATAAAATGGGTGTATGTGTCAGGCTGGGCTGTAGCTCAGTGGTGGAGCGCTCGCCTAGTACGTCTGAGGTTCGATCCTCTGCACCACATGAAAATAAACAGACAAAGCCCCGCAGTCCATAGACAACTAGAAATTTTTTAAAAAATGGGTGTATGTGTCCACCTCATAGTGTTAACACAAATATGAAATGAGATAGCCTGGCTGGGTGTCTAGGTCAGCACCTGGCCCCCAAGGACTGTGTGGTGCGTGGAGATGGGTGGGCTGGCCTTGGGCAGGTCCCTCTGCCCCCAGAGCTGCCATCTAGGGTGGCACTAATTAGACTTGCCCTACAGGGTTAGTACCAGGAACCAATGAGACAACACATGTGAGAGCACCGTGCCCCGTGTGGGCTGGGCATCACACCGAGTGTTAATGGTATTTATTGTGCCTCATTTCAAACTATTTTGGCCTAAGATTAGTTCATTTTCAATTGTGATATTTATAAATCATATGCATTTTCTGACTACAAAGATCCTGCCCATCTCCTGTGACTGATTCAGTCAATAATGATGTGCTCAAAGCAATGCAGGTGCCCTTCTAGGCCAGCACTGACCAGCAGAAATGCAATGGAGACCAGCTAGGTCATTTAAGATTTCCCAGCAGCCACGTTGAGATAGAAGGAACAGGAGAAAATAACGTTCATCATGTGTTTTACTTAACACAGCAGATCCGAAACATTATCGTTTCAACTTCTAATCAATATATAAATTATTGATTAGGTACTTAAGGAAGATTCTTTTCTTACACTAAGTCTTGAAAGTCCAGTGTATGAGCTGGGCATGGTGGCACAAGCCTGTAATTCCAGGGACTAGGGAGGCTGAGGCAGGAGGATCCCGAGTTCCCGGCCAGCCTCAGCACCTTAGGGAGGCCCTAAACAACTGAGTGAGACCCTGTCTCTAAATAAAAAAGGGCCGAGGATGTGGCTCAGTGGTAAAATGCCCCTGGGTTCAACCCCCAGTGCCACAAATAAATACAGTCCAGCGTATGTTTTATACTTGGCGCACATCTCAAGTTCAACTAGCCACATTTCCAGGGCAGTGGTCACATGTGGCCGGCAGCTGCTGTCCTGGGCAGCTCTGCTGTAGGTCTTCCCCCTGGGTAACTGGGAGTGAGGCTGGTGGCGGAGGTGAGGGTGGTGGAGGTGAGGGTGGCAGAGGTGAGGATGGTGGCAGAGGTGAGGATGGTAGAGGTGAGGGTGGCAGAGGTGAGGGTGGTGGAGGTGAGTGAGGGTAGTGGTGTGCTTTTCATGGACTGAGTGCTGATTGGAGAGTTTTGTATTTATCATATTTAAGACCCACAGAGTCCAAGAAATAAGTCATCCCCATCTTACAGAAGAGGAAGCCGAGGCTCAGCGCGGGGAAGGGAGTTGTTCAAAGGTGTCGTTTTCACGTCAGTGGGCGCGAGGGGAAGCTGGAAACGATCAGGGTCACGCTGTTGTGGCCCTGTCAGGCCTCTCTGCACGAGTCCTGGGCTACACTGTGCCAGGCTGGTGACACTGCTGAGACTCCAGCAGGGAACTCAGATAAGAGCCAGTAAATGGTCAAGGAATTGCAGGTGTGGCCGGTCGTGAGAGAGAGAGAGAGAGAGAGAGAGAGAGAGAGACGTGCAGCCTGAGAGAGAGTTCATGAGGGGCAGAAGGGACGGCGTAGCATTCCTTCAGACTTGGTCAGAGATGGCTCAAAGGCTGAGACCCAGGAATTGAAGGAGAGGCCAGAGCTGAGGGAACAGCATGTGCAAAGGTCTGGGACAGCAAAGAACTTAGCCCACAAGGAACCACATGAAAGTCCAGCGGCTCTTGTACTGTGAGTCAGGAGAAGGGAGAAAGCGGGGTCAATTTTTCGCCTTCCCTAGAGACCCGGGTAGGGAGTCTCAACTTTGTTCTGCATGTCCTAGGAAGACCGTGGTGAGGGGGTGGGAAGTGTGGGGTGATGTGACCTGAGCTTCTCCAGCTGCTCACGGCGAGTGACTGGTGTGGTTCCGGGTAGGTGCTGAACACCAGCAAGGAGACTGTTACTAACAGGGCCAGGACAAGGTGTGTCCAAGAAAGCTGTAATGAAGGTGTGACCACTGTGCCTTTGCCATCCCGAGGGGACCAGGTGACCTGGGAGACAAGCAGCCAGGACTGGTGTAGCAGGGCTCTGCTTGTGGCTGAGGGTCCTGTGTCTCCCTGTCTGCCTCCAGCCTCTGCCTGCTCCCCGGGGCCCAGCTGCACCTCTCCATGACATAATCTCTGTGACATCAAAGGGGAAACCCCAGCCCTGCACAATGTCCACCTAGAAGCGGCCACTTCCCAAGTCAGAATTTCTTCTTTCTGCTAACAGATCCATCTCCCGCACGGGCTTTAGTTCATCAGTAATTTAATAGGACTCTAAAAATAACAACGTGCGCATCATGAAACGGGTTCCAGCACTCTGGGGGACCCTTATAATTCCATGGCCCAAGGCCACCACCGTGAGAGCTAGCTATAATCTCCTCCTCTCCCGTGTCCCTTGTGGCTGCGTCCTGGGCTTCTCCACGTTGTGGATTCTGGCTGGGGCAATGCTCAGCGCCATTCTCCTTAAACCTGCTGAGTGTTTTCCTAGTCGCATGGCAAAATCGCCCTGCGACAGGGTGTAAAGAATGTCCCCCCTTTGGTGGCTTTCTGTCTGGGTGAAGAAAAAAACTGAAGCCGCTGTTTTGTTTGCAGGAAGCTTTTTTCTGGCCAGGAGAACAATGGGGGAGTCAGGTGGCCGGAGCAGAAGAGTAATCCTGTTAGCCACGGCTCAGCCCGGCTCTGCCTGGGCCGGGAAGGACCCCCTCTTCTCCTCCCCAGGTGCCTTGTCATTCCCTCCTCCCTGGCGACCTGGTCCTGTCTTTCCTCCAGTCATTAGCCTGCCCATCTGGTCTCTTTGTTTGCCCTCTCTGCATGTGGCCTCCCCACCAGGACCCTGGGAAAAGCTAAATTCCTGCACCTTGGCCAACTCCAAATCGAAATGCCATCTGCATTTCTCGAGAAACATATTTATGACAGAGGAGTATCTAGAAAAATCAAACCATCCACCCCAGCAAATGGTTGCACGCATTCAGCAAATATTCCCAGGGCTCACGGTACGGTTTTTATTGCGTCTGTTATCTAATGAATTCAGGAGACCGACTGCAAACTGGCATTTAAAATATTTATGATTCATTGGTAACAGAAGAATGATCTTAGATTGCTTTTTCTATTGTTTGGAGAGTTCTGAACACATTGGATGCTTTCAAATGTATATTGTGGGCCTCAGACAAAATTCTTAATGTCTGGTCGGTCCAGAAAAGTCAGGGCAGGGAGTGCTTGCCAACGTGATCACAATCGGAACCATACGATCCTCCGAGCTACATTTAAGAGAGGGACTGTTTGGACAGTGAGGAATGCAGCCAGGGATCAGGGTGGGGATGGGGAAGCACTAAGTGTCCTGAAAATATTAAAAATAGCAGGAAAATGAAATGAAAAGGGTTTGTGTGTGTAGCACTACACTTTTTTTTTTGGGGGGTACTGGGGATTGAACCCAGGGATGCTTAACCACTGAGCCACATCCTCAGCCCCCCTCCCTTTTTAAAATTTTATTTAGAGACAGGGTCTCACCGAGCTACTTAGGGTCTCACTAAGTTGCTGAGGCTGGCTTTGAACTCAGGATCCTCCTGCCTCGGCCTCCCAAGCTGCTGGGATTACAGGTATGGCCACCATGCCCGACTAGCACCACGTACTTCTTAAAAAACTTTCCTATGGATGATTTCTGTTGACTGTCCCCCTCCCCTGATGATGCTCTGAGGCAAGTAGAGCAGGGATCATCTGTTCCCTTTTACAGATGAGAAAGGTCAGGTTCAGAGAGGTTGAACAGCTTGCACAGGGCCACACAGGCTGGGGTCAGACCTAGAGCACTTGGGCTGGGATACCAGGAAAGGCACAGAGGGACCTTTTCAGCCTCTGTCAGGTTACAATATATTTTGTAATCCAAGTTTGCCACTGTGTAGGCAAGAGGGCAGAGGCGTGGAGAAGGCAGGCCCTGGACCCTCTGCCATTTCCCCCCAGGCCTCCATCTCTTGCTGCAAGCTAAAGAACAATGTCTCCACCCGAGCTGGGTTCCTGTCCAAGACCGGGAGAGACTCTTTCACCACCACTGTCACAGGACCTCCACCAGGTACGCAGCGGCCTTGCTCTGGCCTGGCTGAGGGTCGAGCTGCAGCTCTGGTTTTCAGCCCCCCCCAACGCCGTCCCCGTTTCTTTGTGGGAAGTGACTGTGGAAGGAGTGGGGGAGGGGAGGCGGGGGCAGCAGGATCTGGTGCTAAATGAATAACAGAAGTGGGGGGGAGACCAGCGTCCCCTCCAGGGGGACTACACTGGCTCTGGAAGCGCTCCCCCCCCCCCCCCCCCCCCCCGTCCCCAGCAGCTGTCCTGGCGTCCCCTTCCATGGCAGGTACGTGGGCTTTGGGCAGCCAAGCGGGGAAGTGGCTTCTCCTTCAGATGGGTGCAAATCCACCCACCCGGGTGCATCACAGGGCATGGGAGGCAGGACCCAGAAGGAAAGACGGTGCGTCCTGGTCCTTTGACAGCCTTGAGGTGCCTTTCCTCCTGAGCCTGGAGGCCATGTTGTCACGGAGCAGTGGGAGCACGGGTGACAGCTCATGGGCTGAGAGCCAGCTCTTGCTGGGTTTCCCGTGCAGCGCCCCCTGTCCCAGGCCCTCACCTGTCCCAGGCCCTCACCTGACACAGGTGCATTTAGCCCTGTCTTGGGGTGAGGGAATGGAGGCTCAGACAGGTGAAGTGACTCGCCCAGTGTCACTGGCCAGCAAACAGCAGGCTAAGCCCAGAGGACCTTAGAGGACCTTAGTGAGGACCCCACTTCCCCGTTATTCCACGGTGCCTTCTGGAACGTCCAGATTCAGGACTAGGCCAGAGCCTGCCTGAAGCCACCCCTGCTGGGGCTGAGGGGGGCACAGAGCCCCTGTGGTCTGGGGCCTCCAGCGCCCTAGGCCAGCCCAGGGGGCTCCTGAAGACCCTGGAGCCCCGGAGCTCCGAGGGGAGCGGGGAGGCGTGGCCTGTGCCTCTGGCCTCTCGCAGGAGGGTGTGGATAAAATTGCAGGCAGGTCAGATTCCACCAAACCCAGATGAAATTGAGCTCAGTCTGCAGCCGAGGAACAATCCAGCGCTAATTAGGAGGCGCAGCCTGGTAAAGGTCCCGCCTTGCGTCACCGTGGGCACAGCCCCCTTGCTGTTTATACAGAGGACCAGAGCCGGAGTCCCTGCCGGTGGCCCCGGGATGTGGGGGCCCCTAGAACCAGCCATCTGGGCTTCCTTCCTTCCTTCCAGCAGGGTCCCAAGGGCCCTCATACCTTTAGAGCACAGAGCTGGCTGGGGGGGGGGGGGGTTCTAGCACCTGCTGAGCACCCCGGGAGCTGGGGGCTTTGCACTCCTGTTACACTGGGTGCTCCAGAACAGGAGCTTGTGTTGGTGCACACTCGTGGGTGCTTCTGCTCCATCTCCATTTTACAGGGAAAAATGATGCCAGGACACAGGTGACTGGCCCAGGTCCCTCAGCTTCACACCCCCGCCCCCGCCTTCCTGGCAGGTGGCTCTCTCTACCTTTATTTTTTGCTTTTTCATTATTTTCCACAGTTTAATATTGCTTTAACATTTTTTGTTAGAATGTGCATGTGTGTGTGTGTGTGTGTGTGTGTATACGTGCGTGCATGCATGTGTGAAAGATAAAAACAGAAATATGAGAGGAATGTACCAATATTGAAAATGTTGCTGGTATTTACCTTTTAAAATTTCAGCATATAATATATTAAGTATATGTTTCATGTGGTAAAAATCCTTCCAAGAAGCCCCTCACAGGGGCACATGCCTATAAATCCCACCAACTTGGGAGGCTGAGGCAGGAGGATGGCAAAATCAAGGTCAGCCTCAGCAATTTAGCAAGATCTTTTCTCAAAATAAGAAAAATTAAAAGGGCTGGAGATGCAGCTCAGTGGTAAGGCACTCCTGGGTTCAATCCCAGATCTTTAAAAAAAATCCTTTCAAGACACCCTTCTTCCTGGCTGCATAGTGTTCCATAGTATGATGGGACCCTCAATGAAGGCACAAATGCCCTCTGGTTAGAAATCTAGGTGGCTTAAAATTGACTGCTAATCTGCATCAAATGACAGTGGCCATCCTTGTACTAATCGCTTGTGTACAATCAAGATTACTTCCTTATACAAAGAGTTTAAAGTGGAATTGCTAAGTCAAAAGGTATGTAAAATATTTAAGGTTTTTGATGTTTGTGACCAAAGTGCCCTGCAGGGTAATTTGTCCTCTTGCTTCACTGGGGCACCTGCTTTTCCTCCCTGGAGAAGATGGGTTCAATCACACCTTGCTAATGCGCACCCTACTATTCCAGTGCTTTTGCAACGGAAATGTAATTTTTATTTAAAACGATCGAGATCAGATTCACAGTGCCCGGAGAACTGGAGGTCACCCTCCCACCCTCCTGCCAACCACGGCTGTGGCCCACTCCACTTTCTGGATTCTGCCCATTTTCACTGAGATGTGCCATGTGTGCGTAGATGCTGTGGCAGGGGTGCGGACTGTGGGCCTGGTGTTTTTATTCGGGCCTGTTGACAAGCGTGTCCGTGGGGCGTTAGGAGAGTTTTATTCACACTGTCAGGGCTGCTGTCCCCTCAGCCGGGCCCTTGACCCATTCCGCCCCCGCCCAGACGTTCAGGCTGTTGATTTACTCACACTTTCTCGTGAGGTAGCGGCTGTTGCTGGCTACCTCCTCGGACTGGAGCTTTTCCGTTCCCCCAGGTAATTCCCTTAACTTCTGAGTGACGGGGCCTTGGCCCAGCCCCTTGCCCTTCCCAGGGCTCCTGGCAGCTGAGGAGATGCAGCCGCTGCCCTGCCCCCAGCTCAGGCCATCCTCTTCTCTGAAGTCTTGTGCCCAAATAAATTGGATTCTCTCACGGTGTCTTGAGGTGGGCGTGGTGGGGAAGCCCGGGCTTTTGAGGCAGGTGGACTTTTCTCTCCCTAACAGGGTTCAATAAGTACTGTTGCTGTGTAATATCTACAAAGCAACCACTGAAGTATTTATCTAGGTATCAGGGATTGAACCACTGAGGGGTGCCTAACCACTGAGCCACACCCCCAGCCCTTTTTTTATATTTAGAGACAGGTGAGTCTCACTAAGTTTCTTAGGGCCTCGCTAAGTTGCTGAGGCTGTCTTTGAACTCGCGATCCTCCTGCCTCAGCCTCCTGAGCTGCTGGGATCACCGGCACGCACCACTGGGCCTGGTGAGATCTATTATTCTTTACTCTGTAGAGCAGCATACTAGGCTTGATCTAAGTCCCTGGCTAGATGTCCTAAGTCCTCTGGCAAGTTATTTAGTGTCTTTGAGTCATTGTGTCAGAATGGAGGGGACAGTGCCCACCCTGCAGGGCAGTGAGGACTGGGTGATCCCAGCGTGTGAGGCCCAGGGCCAGTTCTCCAGCGTTACTAGACAGTATTACTCTTGGCTGTTCCAGGCAGCCCCGGCGTTTGACTGTCGTGGGGTGATATGGCCTTACAGCCCTTAAATGCATTCTTAGGTGGGAGATACGAATTTTTACTTATTTGAGAAGAGTTCTTTATTCCGTTTTAAAATTTCTTTCTGTTTAGGACAGTATGATGTCAACGAATCCCTTGTGAAGCAGTCACCAAAGTCGTTAATGTCTTGCTTTAAATCAAAAACTGATCGTGGATTAAAACTGACGTCAACAGGCCCAGGGCCCGGTTACTACAACCCAAACGATTACACCAGGGTTCCAAAGAAGACCCATATTCCGTGAGTCCGGATTATTCTTTTGCTAGTTTCGTTTTGCAAGGTGGTTTGGGGGCAGTATCCTAATGTGGGCAGAAAGGGGGAGAGATGTCACTACTGAGCAGGATTCAGTACCAGGGACTCTTGCAGACACACATAGTAGGTGTTCAGTACATGCTTGCCCAATGCATAGTATCTATTGAGCAATTGCTCTATGCCAGGAACTTAGAATCTCACTCAATTATCATGATGACCCTGTCGTAGGAATAAATATTCTTACTTCATAGAAGAAGCAAGACTTTAGCTCCCGTGAGGTGCCCCAGGCTCAGGTGTCGTGTGCCATCCGCTGCGGCAGGGTTCTGATTCTGCAGTGTAAAGTCTCCATGGAGCGGCAGGACATAGGAGGGGCAGGAGGCTCTCTGAGTTTTTGGTCAAACCTCCTGAATTTGAACCTCAGCTCTGCTGTTTTGGGCTGTGGGACCTTGGGCCATATGCCAACCTCTGTGAGCCTCCATGCCCTATCTGCACAGGGGGGTGACTCAAGCCTGTGGAGCTGCTTTCAAAATAAAAAATGTATGTTAGGCATCTAGGGGTAAATGGTGAGTTGATACTAGCACAGGTTTGAAAAGCAGAGGAGACGTCGCATCTTCACGTTTAATACCTCACACCGTCAGTGTTACTTTCCTCAGACACTTAGATGGTGGTAGAGCTTCTAGAACTATTTGCAGTAAGGTCAGTCACCCTCTAAGCCCTCCCTCTGCCGATCCTCCAAGCAGGGCTGGCTTTGGGCAGGTGTAGCCACTTGGGTCTCTCCAGAGAGGTCAGGTTATAGTCACAGTGGGTCAGAAGCCTAGGTAACTCAGGGGCTGGCACTACCGAGTATCCCCTGACGGTCAGCCTGGGACAAGGGGACAGGGATTAGGGAGAGGAGCAAGTCCTGAATCTGCCACATCAAACAGCATCTGGAGAAGGGCCTCGGCCTCAGAGAGCGGCGACTAGGTGAGTCCCTCCTGCTCTGCGGTTCCTGGGGTCTGCAGCTCGGCCCCCCTTCCCAGTCTCCAGAAACAGGCCCCTCCAAATGTCAGAGACGTCCTGCTGCAGGCTGGCTTGGGTCACCTTCACGTGCCAGCTGTCCCCTGCTCTGCAGGTCAACAGAGTGGTTGAGAGTGAGCCTCAGGCTTCAGTGCAGACGAGAGTCTGTCTCCTCGGGCTTCTGCAAGGCCTACGGGAGGAGGAACTGGAAACAGCTGTGACTCCTTCCACCTCTGCCGCACCGCACCGTGTGGTGTCCCAGCCCTCGGTCACCTGGGGTGTGCAGATGAGGAAGCGCCCCATCTCCCTGAGATAGTCAGCTGTCACTCCTGGTGCAGCTGGCATTGCTCCACATCCCAGGGACACAGAGGTCATCAGGAACAGTTGGGATTTGAAATGGCAGCTCAAGCCCCAACACAAATCTGGAAGCTTCTTCAAGGCAAATGGCCACAGGAGACAGGAGAGCAGAGAACCTTTCGTTTTTAACCCTTTTACCTGGTTGGTTGGATTTTGCTCAGGTTTGGAGCAGCAAGTTGAAGTCATTCTCATCATTCCCATCTGGTGGCATTTCCGCCTGTCACTCAGCGGGCTCCGTAGGTCTGTGGGTGCTCAGGGGAACGGGATGCCACATTAGCCAGGTCCTCCCAGAACAACCCCAGCGCAAGGCAGAGGAGCATCGTCACATGCTGGCTCACGTGGGACCCCAGGTCATGTAGCCACACCCCTCATGGGGCACCAATGGGGCCAGGGGTGGCCCTGTGTGTCTGGGGTGTCGGGCGCTCACTGGCTTTCTGTGATGCTTCGTGAATGGAGGATCGGGTTCGTCCAGCAGGGAAGCCCTGTGCTCTGGTCCCCCGTGCAGACACCACGTCCCCGGGCCTCCCTTCTCCACGAGTGAAGAGGGGACCTGCTCACATCTGGCACTTTGGGACCCAGCTTTGTTCGCCATGTCACTCAGGGGAGCACAGAAGGGGACCGTGAACTGAGGCCAGCCTGGACCACAGAGGAGAGGCCCAAAATGTCCGCTTATAAGTTGACAAGAAAGAACGGAGGTGAGAATCTACAATTTTACTTAAAAACAAGAAGACAAAACTGATAGGCCTTGGACTATTCTAGAAGAGTGTTCATCTGTTTACGTTGAGCCATGAAGGAGACGGTGGAATAGGAAGGAGAGGTCCAGTTGAAGGTTGAAGGACTATCCAAGCCTCCCACCTGTCGAGTGCCACTCATTTCCCGCTGTGTCCTGGAGGGCAGGGGAACAGGAGCCTGGGCCCATGGTGGGTGGTCAGCCTGGGCATTGCTTCCTCCTGAGACACTTGTGGCCTGGTCACCTGTGGACCTCCAGGGTCCCCATCCTTGGGGTTACAGCTCGCAAACACAGCACGGGGCTCTGCTTTCTCCAGGGTGCAGGGACGTGAGGCCGGTGGACTCCCCCCTGAGGAGTTCATCCCGTGTGACTCCCCCCTCCAAGAGCAGAGCCCAGGGAGCAGGAGAAAGACTGCAGCGCTCACGGGTGCCCGCTCAGTGTGTCTGCCAGGGAGACCTTGTGGCAGCATGGCAGCGGGTTAGTGCCAGCTCTGAGGTCAGGGCCTGGGGCCTCCCACCATCCCCACTCTCCAGCCCCAGGGACGGGGGCAGGCAGGTCACTTAGCTCCTGGGAGCTCCGGGCCCTTCATCTCTGGGAATTGGGGTAAGAGCACTGTGACTCATCGCAGTGAACTGGGGAAGAACCCTGGTGATGTGGTGCCAGGATGAGAGGACGTGGCCGCTGAGCTCGGGTTGGCCCAGTCTGGAGCAGGTCCTGGCACCCACCTGTGTTCCTGGGGTAGCCCCTGCAGGGCCGATGCCGTGCCAGGGCCGGCAGTGTGTTGTGCCAGCCCTCCTGAGCTCCTCGGCTGGAGGGCCGTCTCAAAGCTAAGAGGATTTATCAGCTTCTGGTGCCAGCCAAGGTCTCCCTTCCAGGTCCTGGGTGACTCAGGGGAGTGGGCGGGTCAGGGTAAGGGCTTTGGAGATCAAAACGGCTCCTCCTGGTGCAGCTTCAAGGCCCACCCGCCTGTGGAGGTGGCGCCCAGGGACGGCCTTCTAACCTGCTTCCTGGAGTCTCTAAGCCCCTGGTTTTGCACAGACACGCTGTGGTCACAGCCAGAGCCAAAGGATCAGGCCCGCTGGCCTGGCTCCAATTTGGGTAATTACATTGCACCCCCCTGAAGAGCCCCTGGATTTCCAATTAGATATGGGAGGCTTCTTCCCAAGCGACTGTCATCTGTCACCCGCTACCTGTTGAACAGACACCGCATTCCACCCCAGGGGCAAATCACTGCCCTTTAATGTTGAGAAAAATTGCCCCTTCACCCCTCCCAGCCCTGGGAACCCCTGAGGCAGAGTGAATCTGTGCCTGGGAGTGTCCCAAGGGTCTCAGATGCAGTGACCTGCTGCGTCCTCCAAGCCTTCATTATTCTGGGCGATTTGCAAGCAGCTGAGCTGGAAGCTGCCAACACATTGAATCCTGTTGGGGGCCAACCAAGAGCCTTTGAAAGCTGTTTCCTTTCCGTGGGGTGAGAGCAGGTGGCTCTGCTCTCAAGGGGACGCTCATAAAGCCCCTGACGACAGAGTTGTGTCGGCTGCCCTGGGTCCGGTCTGCATGTCCAGCCCCACGGCCGCACAGGACACCCCTGGCCGAGGCTTAGTCTTGGGTGGGGCTCAGGGGTCTGGCTCCTTTGCTGCCTCTGCCCCTTGGTGTTCCTCTGAGGCTCAGCGAGTGTCCTCCCTGAGGGTCCCACAGCTGAATCAGACACAGTCCCCTCTCTTCCCTTCCAGAGTGGGCAGGTAGGAGGCTTGGAAATCTAGCAGGTTGGGGACAAAGGAAGGAAGAGCAGCAGGTGTGCTGGCCCCGGATACCCCCGCCCAGAAGCTCCAGCGGCAGCCCCCTGTCAACCTCCTGCCTCTCCTAGGGGACAGGGGGTGCCTGTGCCCTCGGGAAAGTGCAGCTGTGCTGTGGGCTGGAGCTGGGACCCACATCTGGGTCCTCCACCTCCCTGTGGAGGTCGGAGGGGACTGTCCAGGGCTGCCAGTCGGGGAGGGCGGAAGGGGTGAAGCCTGAGTCCGAGCTGGCAGGGCAGACGGGTGCTCCTGGCAGAGGGGCGCCCTGGGCAGGGCGGGGACTGCCGAGCAGAGTGTTTGGGTGGAAGTTAGGCTGGCTCCAGAGGCCACGGAGCTTCCCCTGGAACTTCTCCTGCTTGGGTGGGTTTGGGGAGGAAACAAGCGAAGCAGGCAGGCTCCAGGCTCGTGGGTAAATGGGGGGTGGAAGGCGGTGGAAGGGCCCAGCCTTCCTCTCCTGGTGTCCCCAACCCCCCATCCCCCCCCTGCCCTGGGTCTGTGAGGCCCTCCCTGCTGGTGCCCTGCTGTGCTGCTGCTGCTGGCGTGTCCTTCCCCGTCCTTCCCACCTGAAGGTCACCTGCTTCCCTTGCAGGGCACCTGCCACCCTTCCAGGGTGGGCTTCCGGGTTCCCCAGTAGGAGCTGCTGGTCTCTACTCCCCACACAGAGTTTTAAACTCTGTCCTAACCCGTGTCAAAAAGTCACCCGAGGAAAGCAGTGGTCAGTCCCACACTGCTGGGGTCAGGTATCACTGCCGCCATTTCGCAGACGAAGAAACTGAGGCTTGGAAGGCCAAGGGACTTTCCTGAGGACACACCGCTGGCGAGTGGGGAGGGAACCTTCTGTCTGAGAGCACAGCTGTCCTGCCTTAGCTGTCAGCAGCCATGATTGAACTCTCAGGGGACGGTCCAGCCCTCGAGGACATTCAGGCCTGGGCCTTAGCCCAGAGCCGTGTGGATGGAGTCACACACGTGGCTGGTGCCACTGAAGACCCCCAGCATTGGGCTGAGGGTGCTGAGCCACCCCTGGCCTATGACAGAGCAGAGGAGGGGACCTCTCGGGCTCTCCCTGGCTGCCAGGGTTGTGGCTCAGCTGCTGAGGCCTCTTGCGGGTCACCCTGCGCAGCAGAGCAGACACCTCGTGGTCTTCTCAAAGCACAGGGTGGTCTCCTGGGCTTGGGGCAGCCCTGACCAACAGGCAACCCATGCATGGCCAGCTCCTCTTGGCTGTCATTCCCGGACCCAAGCCTGCCTCTCAGAGGCCAGTCGCCCACTCACCGAAGAGGGAGCCACGGCCAGGCCAGGCCGCAGGCCGCGTCTGTTTATAAGGGGACAGGTGTCGGCCACACCTGTGCCCACTTCTATGCAGACTGGGGTGGGAGCCAATGGAGGCAGTGCTCCTCCTGTTCCTGTGGTGGACATCTTTGTTCTAAACATAAGTGTCCAGGTCAGCTGTCCCCCATCACAAGACGTGAGCCCCAGGCTAGGTTAGGGCAGCTTTCCTCGGCCTCCGCAGCAGTGCGGATGCCCCTGCCTCCGGGTGGCTCTGAGTGAGGCCCAAACCTCTCTCTCCCGAAGCTTAGCTGCTTCTCTGCGGTGCTGCAGGACCATGACCATGGCTACTCTTACTGAGCACCTACTATGCGCTGGTGCTTCACATGCCTTTCTCTCTCCATCATAACACTTCTATAAAGAGCAGGCGTTTTTGCTCCTGGCTAAGGACACTGATGCTGAGGTACAAAGAGCTCAGGGACTTGTCCAAAGTCTCACAGCCAGTTGGTGGCATGACCGGAACTCAGACCCAGGTCTGTTCAACCCTGGAACTCCATCCCCTCGGCCATGGTGCCTTCTCCAATTGCTCGGCCCCAGTGACGTCACGCCAGCATCCCACCCATGTGCTCGGTGACTTTAAATACGTGACTTTCTCTCTCTAGACACCAACTTATTTAACAAAATAAGAAGACGGAGTGGACATCTCTAGGTCCCTTTGTCTCTGTGGGTTTAAAAAAGTGGTGGCAACAGAATGCCAGGACCCAGGAACCCCTAGTCGTCCCCCTGCTTGGAGGAGGGGTGAGGCTCCCTGGGCCACCCCACGCCCTAAGAGCCTTCGCTCCACTTTGGTGAGAGACCTTGGAAGAAAGTCTGGGTACAGGCAGGAGGAGGCAGCCCTTCCTCTGGCACCCCCAGGACCCCTGGCCACCAGGAAAACTGCAAGTTGAGGCCTGGCGAAGGGTCACAACTGGAAGGGACGACGGAGGTCACCCTGCCCAACTCCCTCAGTTTACAGACGGAGAAACGAGTGAGTGCGGGGGCTTGGACTCCACCCGGACCTGGCCAGCTTTCTGTGGTCTCTCCATGCCAGAGAGAAAAGGAGACTCCTTCTCCCCGAGGAGGCAGAAGACAGACTGAAAACGTGCCGGTGTCATCTGGGTCACGAGAGCGCTCTGGATGCCCCACCTAATGTCTCTCCACGCCTGGATCTTGCCTTTCCAGGAAGATATCTAGCAGAATTCTGGAACCTTAACCTCTGGAATCTCGGGACAGTCTCTAGGTACCTGCTAGTCGTGGGATACCACATCCCTGGGACGTGGGACGCCTCTTCACCTCGCCTGGCCACGGCAGGCAGCACCGGTAGACCACCAACACTCTTCCCGTGGAGCCCACCCGAGGCCTTAGAACTCTCCACAGAGCTCCAACAGGCACTGCCGATCAAGGACCCTTCCTGCTTGGCGCAGTAACCAGAGCTGTGCCCGGGCATTCTGAGCGCTCAGCTCTGGGCCAGGCCCTGTTCTGCGTGCTGCCATGTTTGAGCTGCATCGTCTCATTTAACCCTGGCAAAAGCCTCCAAGGTGGGTACTGCTATGATCACCCTCGTGTAGATGAAGAAACTGAGGTCCGGGGGCTCAGGGCTCATGAGCAGCCGAGCCAGGCTCTGCCCAGCTCTCCCGTACCTTGCAGTACCCTGGTGCTGTGGGGCTCTGGCTGTTCTAAACGTCGGCACTTCCCCAGCAGACCACTTGGCTGACCTCTTCCCATCTTGTCTTTTTCAAAGGAAAAACTCCATGCTGAACTTCTCTGCTCAGCCTTTGCCTCTGCCCCTGAAGCCGTCTCTGCCAGGCCCTGGGCAGTATGAGATCGTGGACTACGAGGGGCCCCCCAAGCACTTCATCTCTAGCGCGTCATTTGTGTCCAACACCAGCCGGTGGACAGCAGGACCGTCCCAGCAAGGCCTGCCCGGCCCAGGTCAGAGGACTGTTCTGAGTGATTGTAAACGCCAGCTCCTCTGGGATTGTTTGTCATCGAGGCCGTTGAACGCCACTGATTTATGGGCTGTTTGCTGAACAGGTTACAGAGCGAGAGGAGATTTGGGAGATTTAGGAGTCTTCAGCTCACGTTTTTCAAGAGTATACAAAGATTTTGTTTTTTTAAGGTGGAAGGGCTCTTGGAGGTGATCCAGGTCAGGGATTTATAACCCAGGATGGGAAGGTTCGAGAGGTCAAAGACAGGTGCTAGGTAGCCAGTGACTCTGAATTCCCTGCAGACATTATTCTCCGTGGTGAGGGGCCATGGCTTTTGTCAAATTATCAGAAAAGTTCTTATTCCTAAAAATCTACATGCCATGCCAGGTGTGGTGGCACGCGCCTGTAATCCCAGCTACTCGGGAGGCTGAGGCAGGAGGATCACAATTCAAGGCCAGCCTGGACAACTTAGTGTCTAAAAATAAAAACAGAGGACTGGGGATGTGGCTCAGTGTTACGACACCCCTGGTTCAGGGCCAAGTGCCGCAAGAAAGAAACAGTTAAGCCACTGGTCCAGTCCGGCCAAGGCATTTCACAGGCAGGGACACTGGGAGCGAGCTACACACAGGGCCTCTGTGGCAGGACAGAGGCCCGGACACCTTGCTCATGGCGACCAGGGACTGTTCAGTGAACTGCTCTGCAGCCAGCCCCACCCCCTCCTACAGAGGCACCGACAGTGACCCTCCCTCACATCTGGGATCCAACAGTGACCTCCCCTCACATGTGGGATCCCTTGGGAGCTGATGTCCTGAGGGCCTCGTTCTGATGGTGATCTCTGTGCTTCCTCACCTAGCTGTAGCTCCCCTTAGATCCCTTAGCTGTCACCACTCTCTGACAACGGCCAGAACTAGTGGCAACAGGGACCAACAGGTGTGGCTGGGTGGCAGGTGACGTGGGAGAAAGGCAAAGTTAGGCGAGTGTTGAAGAGGCTCCCACCCTGGGAGACTGAGGTGACAGTCCTGTGTCTCCCAGAGGCACCACAGTCTGGTAGGGGAGACACACCCTCCCCGCCACACACAGGTGAGGGAAATGGGAGGGGGCAGGGGAAGATCATTGTCCTAGCTTGGGCCTTTTGCATACTTGGTGAGGGTCAGACCAACAAGACAGCAGAGGGGTGACCCCAGGGGCTTCTAGTCAGCCCAGGAGAACGTGGCGTGGTCCACAGAGTGTGCTACTTCCATAAGAGGGTGATCTCCAGGGACCTTGGGATGGCCTGTTTGACCTGGCCCTGTCCTCTAGAGCTTCGTCTGACGGTGGGCACCTGACCCTCAGGTTGGGCTGTTCCTGCTGCTGGGATGACCTGCACCAAGTGGACTTCCCTGAGGGGTCTCTGGTGAGCACGTGCAGGCGTCTGCCTCGGGTGTGCGCAGGTGTCCTGGCTGCCGTGGGTGCCCCTTGGCAGCTTCCTCAGAGGACACCCGAGGGGGCCTGTTAACGAAGCCGGCTTCAGAACAGAGCACTGCAGGCTCTGGTTCCCAAGCCCTACTTGTCCTAGTTGCTCTCCTCCCAGAGGACCGTGTCTGCAAATCTCACCAAGCTAACTCCTTGGGTCTTTAAGAATTTTCCTTTACTCGATATGTTTTTCAAATTTCTAGAAAACAGTCTTGCAAATTTTGTTCTGTTAAAGAGTTAAACAGAGGGTTGGGCCGTGGCTCATGGCAGAGCACTGGCCCAGCCTGCACAAGGCCCGGGTTCGACCCCAGCACCGCAAGACAGAAACCAAACAAAAATGTAAACAGGAGAAACAGTTCCCCAAGCCAAGTTCAAGTCCAGCCCTGGCCAGTTAAGAGCCAGGTGACAGGAGGCCATTCCCTTCCTCCCTCTCTGTCTCCTCCACCGTGAGACACAGGGGTCCCTGGGCCTTTCCAGCCTGAGGCAGGAGGCCAGAGGACCCAGGGGCCAGCCTCTCCCTCTCATGCCATCTCTCTCTCCCCTCAGCCACCTACAAGCCGGAATTCCCGGGAAAGCAGTCGTTCCTCTACAACGAGGACCACAAATGGATCCCAGTGATGTAGTGAGGTAGCGCAGGCTCAGTGAGAGCCCCAGCCCCAGCCCCGCCCCGCCCTCCCCAGGATATTCACCAGGAGGACCTGTGTTGCATGCGACAGCTGACGACCTGCCACCTGCCCCAGTGCTACTGCAAGGGGCTGCCATCACCCTTGCCTGCCCCCCCCCCACCAGCTCCAGCAGTGTCCCCAGCAGGGGGTAGACGGAGCCCCTGGTCTTCCCCAGGCACTCCCCAGGCTGGCTCTGGGCGACTCACCTCCTGAAGCAGGGCCTCCAGGAAGGAGACGGTCCACCTGACAGCAGCCCCCAGCCGTCGTGGAGCAGGGGTTGGGGTGGAGTGTGCCCCAGCCTGGTCCCCTCTGTCCGCCCTTGACTTCTGGACTCCTTCTTGATTTCAGAAGCCAGGAAGACCCAGAGACACCAGGAAGGTGCTGGCTGGGCCCTCGACTCAGCTAAGGCTTCATGTTGCACCTTCAGGAAGAGCCTGGAAGCTGGCCCCGCCCCGGTCCTTTTCTTCATCACCCCCCTGGAGAGCTGCCCGTGGTTCACAGGCTTGTGTAGCACGTGTGACAGTCCCTTGCTGGAGCCAGAGTCCTGGACGGAGCAGTTCCCAGGGGCAGGGAGGCCACACTGTGCCCTGTGCCACCAGATCTCTCCCCCCTGACCTTGCCCCTGCCTGAGCCTGGGCTCCATCCCCTCCTGACCTCCTGCTTCGGTGACAGAGACAGACTTATTGACCAAGTTGGATGCCATTTTTAACAGATCTCTTCGGGCCTGCATAATTTCTCCTCATCAAGAGGAAGGTGGAGCCCACCACTCAGCCCCTCCTCGCTCGGCCTTTCGTGGAGTCTCTCTTGCACCTCCCCCAGCCCCAGCCCTGCCGACAGGTCCTGGCCTCTCGGGAATGCTGCACCCTGGGCCTTCCTGTTAGAACTGGCTGCTGATGGGCTCTCCCTTTGGGGGTGGGTGAAGGAGAGGGAGGGAAAGGAGGGAATAACACTTTCAATTACACGGAATTCTTGCTTCTCACTAAAGCCGGGCTTTTGGTGAACTTCAGACTCCAGCAAGGGCCCCGTGGCCTTGGAATGACTGAGAGGCAGCCTAGAGGGTTGTGGGAAGAGCAAGGAGGTTGGGGTTTAAAGTCAGAATCACCTTGTGCTTCCCTCTGCACTTCCCAGGGTCTCAGCTTCTCCAGGGGAAGAGCTGGGGTGGGTCTCGGGGGCTCCAAGTTCTGACACTTTCAGAGGCTGAGCAGACCATGCATCGAGTGCAACAGGTCAGGTGGGCACGGGGACTGGTGCGAGATTGCCGCCATCTCACAGGGCACCCAACACCACTCAGCTCCAGCAAAGTGGTGCTAGAGCTGAAGATTTTCTACTAAATTCAGGGAAATCCTTTTTTTTTTTTTTTTTTTTTTTTTTTAGTACAGGGGATTGAGCCCACAAATGCTTCACTACTGAGCTACAACCCCAGACCTTTTAGATTTTTATTTTGAGACAGGTTTCATTAAGTTGCCCAGGCTGGCCTCAAACTTGCAATCCTCCTGCTTCAGCCTCCAGAGTGCTGGAATTATAGGTGCGGGTCATCATGCCCAGCAAGCCCAGGAACTCTTTACTATAGTAAATCTTTTAACATGAGATATGGACAACTATATTCCAATTTGAAATAATTATTTGAGTTAAAGGAAACTCTTTTGGGGGTCATTGATTGTCCACATTTATGCTAGAAGTTCTGTAAGATTCTTCAAAGCTGACACTCAGAGTCATCCTTTGTTTGACCCAGGCTCTTGACACCGGGGCCAGATCCTGAGGCCTTGATTTTAAGCTTCCTCTGACCTTGGGTACTCGACCTTAGCAGGTGACTGGCTGCTATTTGCTGGGCTTGGGGCTGGTGATAACGTATAGGAAAACCACAAAGCCCTCTTCACCCTTCAGAGGACTCTGCCAATTGAACTGTCTCTCCAGTGACCCCCTCCAAGTGGGCCAGGAAAGAGACCTGAGGAGAGAACAGCAGGGCTGGTCGGCCAATCAGAACCCACATTCTATGGGGGACATACTGCGCTGAGGCCCTAAGCTCAGGGTGCTGTCTTGATCCTCCTCCTCTTTTAAGATGTCACGGGCTGTTCACAGCTGCATCCCCTGAGGTTTCCTACCCACAGCTGGACACCAGGCTCACCTCAAGAGGGAGCTGTTGCTGGATGTGGTGGCACACACCTGTCATCCCAGTGACTTGGGAGACTCAGGCAGGAGGATCACAAGTTCAAAGCCAGCTTGGTCAACTTAGCAAGACCCTCAGCAATTTAGCAAGACCCTGTCTCAAAAAATAAAAGGGCTGGGGAATATAGCTCACTGGTAGAGCACCCATGAGTTCGATTTTCATTGCCCCCCGCAAAAAAAGAAAAGGAGGGAGCCATCATAGGGTCCATGCTGAGAGCATGTGCAGGCTGCAGCCCTCGGAGTTCTGACTTGGTCCATCGTTGGTGTCTTCACTGAAGTTCTGAGTGTGACTGCAGCGTACCTAGCTAGTGTCAGGACACACTAACAGTTTAGTAAAGTATTTCCCAAATTTCAGTGTGCGCACAAATCACTTGGAGATCTTGTTAAAATGCAGGTTTGGTACGTCTGGGGTGGGGCCTGAGATTCTGCATTCCCAACAAGCTGCTGGGGGAGCCCCCGTGCTGTTGACCTTGGTGATTCCTGCTGTGCAGAAGTGTGGGCAGACCCAGGGGCTGCAGAGGCTCCAAAGCCTGTGGAGTGGCGCCCCTTTAGAGCAGTAGTTCTCCATCCGAGGTTCTTGATCGCATGCTGTGGTCACCTGGGGAACATCACAAAGTACTGACATCTGACCCCACCCAGGGTCACTAGCTCATTTAGTTACTCCAGGGTGGGGTCTGGGCAGTGGGGGAGAGAAGAGGGTGGAGAGAAGAGGGCCGGCAAAAGTGTCAAGGTGATTCCAACAGGTGATCAAGATTGAGAGGCAGCACCTTCCAGTTCCCAAGTGGCTCTGGGAGGGGAGCTGGGTAGGAAGCTCAGAAGAAGGAAAGCTGAGCACCTACTGTGTGCCTGCAGCCTGTGTTACTGCTCAGCACTCAGGTGGTTGCTTTTTTTTTTTTTTTGAGCTGGGGCCATGTTGCCAGGCCTGGCCTCAATTCGCCACCCTCCTGCTTCAGCTGGGACTAGGGGTGGGTGCCACCACATCCAGCGGCCCTCCTGTCATTTAACCTTCACACGTCACTTTTCTCTGACCTCTGGAGTGATGTCACAGCACTAGTGAGGCCTGGGCGGGGCAGAGTAACCCTGGATGTTCTGCAGGGCCCCTCCGGCAGGGCCACAGGAGCCATGTTGAAGCCTGATCCGTGACGCTGAGCCTGTCCTTAACATTTTGAGATTTTATTCAAAGTGAATTTTTTTTTGCCTCAATTTTAAAAGACGCTGCATTGTACTTTTACTTAACTACTTTACTGAGCTCTTTGGTACCCCTTAATTTTTATGCCCAAGGCTGGTACCTCACTTGCTTGACCCTGGTCCCAGCCCTGACTCTAGGCAGGGCCTTGGGAATGGAACCATAAACTCTGGTGGAGCTGAAAGGTCCTAACAGGAATCTTGGTTTTCAAACTTTAAAAAGAGTTTTGTTTAGACAAACATTTAAAACAAATCTTAATATGTAAAAAGCAGAGGTGGTGGGATTGAAGGCAGGGAGGTGCTCGGGGATGCATCCCCTCCCCCACATCATGACCCTGGGGCTCTCAGGATGCCAGCGTAGACCACCTCCTGCACCTTCCAAGGAAACAGGCTGGATGCAGCGGTGGGAAGGGAAGAGGAGAGGAAGGAAGGAAGCCTTGACTTGTGGTTTGCTCCCCAGGGCGATACAGGGCTTGGCCTGTAACCCCCACCGTGGCTGATTTCAGTGCACCAACAAGTTGTCACTGGCCATGCTGTTGGGAGAGATGTGCACCGTCATTTTATGAGCCAGCAGGAGCTGGCCCCAGAGAAAGCAATGGCCTGGAGGGGACACAGAGATGGTACAAGAAGCAGGTCACGTGGCTCCCAGACCTGGGCTCTGCCCCCTGGCCCCAGCTGGGAGTTCCTCGCCATGGCCATTCTGGTCCTTCCAGGCCTTTAGCTCAGTCAATGATTCTAGGGTTGTCACAGTCATCTTGGTGGGGCCATAGGGGCTGCACGTCTGTGCTCACCTCCATCCTGCAGCCCAGGGCAAGGCACTCCCGGGACAGAGCCACTGCGGAGAGGAGAGGGGCCTCATCCGCCCTGGCCCCTCTTTTTGCTGGAAGACCCTCAAAAAAGGAGTGAATGCAGCGTGTGAGGTAATACATAGGGAGCCTTTTATTACTAAATACTATGAGTATACAAAATGCATAATCGAATAACAGCTAAAAAAAATAGTCCAAGAAATGTGAAATACACATTTTTTGAAATGATAAAAACGTATCCATGAAAAATATAAAACGTTGCATATATACATACAATATATTTATATATATAACATAAGTGAAACTTATAATAAGAAATGTGTACAGCAGCGATGGCAAGGTGGTAGTGTTGACAGCGGTCACTTTGTTCCAGAGCTCTGTTATTTACATCTCGCCTTGAGAAGTCAGTGAGGAAGAGGTGTTGCCACTACAGTGTCTTTTAAAAGTCATTTGCACTGAAAATCAAGCATTTTCAAGTTAAGTGACCAAAGGGTGAGAAATCCTTGGTCTGAATTTGACGGAAGAATCCGGAGCAGGCCATGCCAGGGTTGGGCGGGCCATGCCAGGGTCAAGCTGGCTGTGCAGCCTGTGGGGGGAGGGCTCCACCTCTGAAGGCAGCCGGCAGGGGACGGGGAGGAGGGACCGGCCGGGAGGGTGCTGACCAGGGCGCTGCGTCTGGTGGGCGGGCACTGGCAGGATTCAAGCAAGGATGGAGTTCGGATCGGCAGACCCTCGGAGTCCCTTCTTGGCTTGACGGCTGGGGTCTGTGACTTGGGGGCCACTTCCCTCAAGGAGCACATTCAAGTAACAGCACTGAGGCATGCAGAGAGGCTGGGTGTGGCACGGGCCACTTCCCGGGTCTGGGGTTTGGGGGCGTGGGCCCTACAGCTCCTTCAGGATGATCTGAATCTTGCCGTCCAGCTCCCCCATGTCCAGCAGGAAGGCCACATGGTTGCTGTAGTGCTGGATGATGTTGTCATCCATGTTGACCAAGATCCTGGAAGAGAGGAGGCGGCGTGGTTGGAACATGCCAGGGGCCTGCATCCTGTCCCTCTGAGGGACACAGAGGACAGCCACATTTCAGGCACCTCACAAACTGCCTTGGGGTCCTGCCCACCAGCCTGCAGGGTGGTAATCACAGTCCCCTTTACAGGAGAGGGGCCGAGTCAAGCCTGCCACGCCCAACCTGCTGCACATGCACCTGGGCACCTGGGAGTGACACGCAGATCTGGGGGAGAGTGCTCCCCTGGTCACCCAGTAACCACAGGGACACACAGGGAGTTCAAGTCAGGAGGTGTGGCAGTTTGGGTTCAGCAGGAGGCTGTGACTGATGTGCCACTCAGGTATGCCAGCCACACGGGAGGCAGATGCCACCCAGACCCTGGCTTGGTGTTATCCCCTGAAGCTGACACCCCAGGACTAACTCTCCAGGCAAGGATCTGGCCAGCCTGACAAAGACCAGATTGCCACCTCCTGTCCACCTGCCCTTATCATCTCCAGCATTTGCTGAGGATGTGCCTCCCTCCAGCACCAG